GCTGTAGTATGGGTTCTCAAGAACAAAGTAACGTCCGAGCTTCATTTGGTGGTCTGCGACCGATTCACAGAATTTTAAAACAGAAAGTCTCTTGGCAGAGCCTTTCTTCCACTGTGAGTACCAGCTAGACCACTGAGAATGGTCCGGTGACATAACAATAATAGTAGGTTCTTGTTCCTTGATGATCCTAAGAAGATTGGAGCGACCTTGCGGTTGCTCAAGATCTAGACCGCTACGCAAATCGACTGGCTGACCTACTCGAAGACCTGATAGGGCAGCCTTGTGACTCATGCGGGGAGATCCGCCGTAGAGTTCTAGAAAATCAATCTTCCCAGTACTGGTGACCTGCCAGTGACACTCTTGATGTGGAATCGTTAGGTCTGTCGACTGCAGGGAAGCATCAAAGGTGACCATGCAACTTGCGTGGTCAGAACCTTCTGACGTCAGAGTTTCCTCATCAGGCGCGAGAGGAATCTCCACATCAGATGTTATGTCATAGTTTTTCCTCAGTTTTGAGATATTGACACGGACGATGCGTGTTCCAAGATCCACACCTACCATGGATCCTCCGAGTTCGGAGATCACCTTACCTTTTAGCCAAGATCCATGTTTGGACCCAGTGGATCCAATCTTAGACTTATCTTCTGACCAGTAGAAAACCTTATCTCCCAAAGAGAAAGGTCCTTGGGTCATTGACAGTCTGGCTGCAAGATCTCTACGCAGATCATCAGATTGGCGTGCCTCTTGGTAAGCCCTGTTGGCAAGCTCCTTAATGGCTCTCGCAGTGACTTCCGTATCAGTTGGATTACCTGTCAACTGATTGGGATCAGCGTTCTCTGGTGTTATAACATCTCGAGGACGCCTTCCAAAGGCCATTTCTAAAGGAGTAACTCCTCCGTAGGTAATCGAAGAGTTTCTTGCCAAACATGCTTGGCGAACGAGGTTGCCATACTTCATGGTGATTCCGTTATACTGCGGGTCACCATCCTTCAGGATCTGAAGTATGAGCTTAATCTGATGCTTCAGCAATCTTACAGCAGCTTCGGCCCTGTTGGGCCATGGTGTTCCAGGTCCTGTTGCCACAGGCTTGATATTCTGCCGATTGTAATAAGCCTCCATTTTTGGAGTCATGAATGCTTGATCTCCAACTACAACCTTTGGGTTGATCTGAAATTTTTCAAAGTAGTCATTCATAATCGACATTGTAGTATGTTCTTCTTTATCCTGGACTACTTCGGCAGTCAACAAGTTTGTTGCTCCATCATAGAGAATAAGAAATACTAAGCGACTATCCTTGCCGGGAATTGGAAGCTCACCGTGATCTACGAAGGTGAGATCACCGAAAGTCTCTGATCTTAGACCAGAAATCTTCGCTCTCGAAGGAGCTCTCACATGTTCCTGGCAGGCTGAACACTTTTTGACCAGTTGGTCATATAGCTCGTAGATCTCCTTTGGGATCTGTAAGGCTTTTGTGCGTCGCTTGAACTGATCCGTACTCATATGACGGTGCTTAAGGTGAAGCTTATAGAGTTCTACAGGGTCCTTAAGCTTTTCATGAATCCTGCGAAGAGCAATGGGAAGAGATGGCGAAGGTTCTGCGACAATCTCTTCACCTGTTGGTGAGTCTGTGCCAGGAGCCGGGTATTCTCTTGACTCAAGTGGTCTTACCTCCGTCCCGTCATCAGCTCCTGGGACTGTAGACTTCTCTTCAACAGGAGGTTTGTCCGCATATTTGCGGGTTTTCTTCAGAAGGTTTTTAAGACCCTTTGGAGTCTTTATCTTCGCAGATGGAACCTCAAGTCTTTCTCCTTCTGGAGGTTCATGCGGTGCAGAGGATTCTGCAGGTTTGTCTCTAGAGCCTGATGATGGTTCCGATGGTCCGGAAGGCTCAGGAACATCTCCAGATGATTCTGGTGGATCAAGTCTTTTGGCAGATGATTCTGCCGGATCAGATGGAAGAGGCTTCCTTTTCCCTGAAATCCTCTTCGGTGGTGGATCAGCTGCTCCCTCAGGTGCTCTGTCACAACCCTTGAGGTACGTGTGAGCCTTTTTCTGTCCGGCACAGGCTGGACAGCGACCTTCCGGTATCCTAACATAAGGCTTATTGGCTCCTAGAGCAGTCTCCGTCGCACGGAACGATGTACCTGACTTAGGAAGGTACTTCCTGGTGGAAGTAAAGCCTAAAAGGTCCAATACCAAATGGTTATTGGTACTAATCGGAAGAGGGGTTTTATACAAACCGAAGGCTTCACACGTTGCTAGGTCAGCTGTTGGACTACACTCGAGGGTCATTCTTAGGTTTCTCATCTGTTCAATGGAGAACAAGATGGGGACTCTTCCCTGATCCAAAACTTCTATGGTTGTATCTCTTCTTGGAGTTGTGTTAAACCATAGAGTTACACGCTCCTTGATAAGAGCTGTTTCACTATCTGCGAAAGAGAACTTCGTGTTCGAAGGTGAAAAAGTGAAATCAATCATGCCTGGGGCATGTTGCTTCACGGCCTTGATAAGCCTGTTCACCGCATAGCGGGAACCCATAGCCCTAGTACAACCAGAGTCAAGAATGACAAAGGTAGGGCTCTTATCAAGATTGATCCGCTCGGTGAGAGCAGATAGGACGGTGTGCTGCAACGGAAACACTGCTGTTGCAGTCTCCACACCTTGCCCCTCGGATGGTTCAAAAACCTGGGGCGCGTAACTCACTGATGAGTTGTACACGGGTTCTTGGTGCGCGCTCGGATCTGTGCCTCTACCTGATGATCCTGCTTGATTTCTTCTCTTCTTTCTCCGTGTCTTTCTTCGTGAGGCTTGTGATGCATAGTATGTATAAGACGTTTGATCGTCATAAGCGGCATAATTCCAACTGGAGTCAGTATAATAACTGTCCTCATACCATGAATCCCAGCTCGGTGCGGTGGAACTTTCATAGGCCTGTGGAGATCCAGTTTGGTCTCCTTGTAAGGAGGCAGACTTAGCTGTATCCTTACCTTTGCCTTTTGATTTTGTACCCTTTGAAGGAGCTTCCTTTATCTCCTTTGTCCTTTCCTTTTCCTTTGCCTTTTCCACCTTTTCCTTTTTCCTTTCCTTTACCTTTACCGAAATAGCTGGAATCAGTTGGATCATGTTCTGCCTGGTTGGCTCTCCCTTTTCCGCGGTATGACCTAAAACGGCCACGTCCTTTTCGCTTGCCACCCTTTGCTCTTCCCGGTGATCCGGGACGCATTCTTGGTCTTCTTCCCTTTTTGAATCTCCTTGCAACGAAGGCTTCATGGTCGTCAACTGTCCAGAAGACAGCTTCTTCATCCTCGGCGGCAAGAAAGCCTTCCTCAAGGGTGTCTTCGTCTTGAAGCCAGAATCCATCGACTCCGTCGTATTCACCCTGATCGAGGATGAGGAAGTTTCGACCTCCGCGTTTGCGGCGTTGATCTCTCCTTCCATGGCGGTCCTTCTTGTGAGAAGTGTGCCGAATATTGGGATCCTGCAGACCAGTTCTGGTCGTTGAGAACTGATCGAACATGGTCTGCCGTACTATAGGGTACGTGTAGGTCTCAATTCGGTAACCTTGGTTGGTCAATGCTGTTACCAACCTCTCACGTTGCATCTCATTTAGGTCGGACTGCACTAGGAAGAGGAGAGCTAGGAGATTATCATTTAGAGGAAACGCTCTTCGATGATTATCAAGGCGTTCCTTGTTCCATGTTTCGAAGAAACGTGCGGCGTATGTGTCTCTCTCGGTTGCATCCTGTAGGCGCATGAAGGTTTGATCTGCTTGCACAGCCTGCATGAAATCAGGATGGGCATCTTCCAGAATTATCTCTGGTAAGAGATCCATCCATGAGTTTCTCACGCGCTGTAGCACGATCTCAAACTTAGCAATCCAAGTCACAAAGTCTTGGTTGCCCTTCCATGCCTTGAATAGGCCGAGAAAACGCCACAGGAAAACGTACTGTTCTCCTTTCACGAAAAATGGACGCATCTTCTTCTTGAAGTAATCTACTCCGTCTGGGGCTGCAAGCCTTTCTCGGTTGAGTGATTCTTTTTGTACTGCGGCCAATCCGGAGAGCCTCGTCTTGAGAGACGGACCTCTTTTGGTATCATCCAGCGTTGTTATATCGCACCAGTCGTCAATCAACTGTTCATACTCAAACCACGAGGTGGTGCCATCATAGGCAGGCGCGATCTTGGGCGTTATGCCTAATGATGCAAGCATGCGGTCAGATGTTGCATATGACTGTGCGACATAAGTAGCTGGACCTTGGGAGGTCTCTTCGTTCTCATATCCCCCGGAGGACTGGGAACTGCCGTCGGCTTCGCTATGCGAGCTCGACATTGTGCTGCCTCTTGTCCGCTTGGTTAAGCGTTCGGCGAGGCCGACCGCTGTAGCGGACTTTGTGAGGCGGGCGGCCCTTTCCGGGCTCCGCTACCAGAAAACTGTGCCGATACACCCCCAAGGGATACTCCTTGTGAGGAGGTGTATGACCAGTTATTCCCTAAGGATCAAAGGGCAGCGCCCTGCACACGGACAGTAGTTGTTTTGTCTTGCTACGCAAGGAGAGCTTGTCTTGTCTCAATATGGTAAAACCACTGTGAGCCAATGGGCAGCGGAATGTATATGTATGAGCATGCAGCCATTGCTGTAGGTACCTGTTAGAGCTACCCCTTTAGAGGTTTATGGTTTCAGAGGGGGGGGGGGAGGGGGGGGGGGGGGGGGAAGGGGGAGGGGGGGGGGAGGGGGAGGGGGGGGAGGGGGGAGGCTTTTGCAGGAAAAAGGAGAAAAAAATTGGTGGTCTCCTACAATGAACTGATTTGAACCCAATGGGCTGTGGTGTGATGCTTATCGAAACCCATCCAACACGCCGCCAGGGTCGGCGGATACACACGTAAAGCTCAGTGTTGGTGTCTTCATCGTCAGTCAGCACTTGACATAGGAAGCCGGTCAGATGCCTTCCTCATAACCCAAACGTCGAAGCGGCCCAATCTCTGACTGAGGCTACTACTGCATGGAGGCTGCCGCCAAAGGCGCTTCCTTCATCCTCATCGGAACGAAGGCGCGCAAGCTGCCACAAGATCTGCAAGAAAAGCAACGCCTGAGACGAGTCCAACTTTGATACCCGCTCGTCGTCGACTCCTCCAGCGCTTCAGGAGCAGGCGCGCCCCATCGTGGCAAAGCACGGTGAGGAAGCTGGCATCCACTACACTGACATGAAGCTTCTTGGCTTTCGCGATTTCAAGCGGGACCTCGGGAGTTTGTTGCTTAAGCTCCTAGGCATTGCAGAAACGGGGGCATCCTGCCGGGAGTAGCTGTTTCTGATGTTTCCGCGGCTGAGACTTTTTGTAACCAGTTGTGAGTTCAAGGCATTTGACGGCTGTAGAGTCGGGGCAGACTGCCCGGACGCCTGAAGAATGTAGTCAGATGAGAGTTGTAAACCCAGAACATAGGTTTCAACTGCTTGTGGCAGGAATCAGGAAGGAACAGAGATATCGTAAGCTTCAGCTTGTGTCACACATGTCACTTTGACACAATCTTTGGCCTTTAAGATTTGAACTGCACTAACTGAGCTGAAGACTGCCAAGCGACCACAAGAGTTCTGCACGGTCGGAGGCCTGAACAAGCCGTTGCATACGCCATAAGCACAAATCCGGTTGGCTCTCGACGACCGCCTCTATTGGGCTGCCACAACCCTTGTAAATCTACAGACCACGCGAGGTTCGTGGGCGGCTTGTTGAGCAACTTCCCCGTGGTTCGGAAATCCGTCGAGCTCATGCAGCAGCTTCGGGTCTGACCGGCATTCTGCCCTTGCGCATTTCAGCGGATGTAGCCCAGAGATGTCGCCAGGAAGAGAAGGAGCAGGGTGCCTGGAATGTCTTCAACGAGTTCCAGCGCTTTAAGAATACGTGGGCGACCGAGATGTGATCATACAGCCGCAACATAAGCAAATGCCAAAGGTGCACAGTTCAATCAGCTCTATCGCCTCGACCCTCTGCTGAGGTGCAAGCTGGAGCGACTTACGAAGAAGTACCATGGTGTTGAGGAGATGACCGGCTACCCGGACATCTGCATCTTCGTGGACGAGGACCGTGCCACTCTGCTCCGCTCTACTATGATCTGCTCTTCTCTGTTGTGTGGGTCCTTTCAAAAAGCATTCTGCGCAGATTAAAGAGCGAAACCCCATCGCGGAGATGGTGCGCATCGGCGTGCCTTGCATTGGCGGCATCCTTGAGCGTGGACTGGTTTTAGGCCCAGAGGTTCTGTCTCGACCAGCCGGCCGACCAGCTCAGGCATGGTCGATTCTAACAACGATCCAAAGTTTGTGGACATTGCCATCCCTTCGAACACTTCGAACACGAAGCCCCACGCTGAGTACATTTAAATTGCTATAAACATCTCGCCCTCATTGGACGGCGTCTGGCAGGTCCATTGACCTTGTCATTGGCAAGATTTGCGAGGCGATCAAGAAGGGCAAGGTCCGACGTTCCGACACGTGATGCACTCCAAGCTGCAACTGCTCTGTCACTCACCTCGTGATGCCGGTCAGAAAATTAAATACTAACTGATAACTGATATCTCTGCAGAAAGACGGGCAGTTCACCATCTGTACTTCCCTGCCATGCACCATTGCAGCATCTTGGTGCCATGCCCTGTTCAGACGCTGGGTCAAGCGACGTCGCTTGGGGAGCGTGAGGACGCTGGGGTTCGACAAAGTCCATAATCATCAGCAGGGGCTTGCGAGGCATCTTCGGAAGCTTGGTAGTCATGCTGGGCACAGCCCATGTGGTCTTTCCAATCTCCGGCGAAACGGACAGTGTCAGGAGTTCCCCAAGGAGTGGGATCCCTGGATCCTTAGCCGAGCCCTGTGCTCAGCTTCTCTTTTCGTCGATCGGATGTCTTCATCAGTGGTTCGGCCCCAGGACCGCATGCGATGCCTTCGTCGCCGTTCAAAGCGACAGGGCTGGATGAAGGTGCCTGGAAGACAGCAGTGGGAAGAGCAAGTCTAGCTCTAGGTTTGCAGTGTTCCAAGGAGTGTTCAGGTTTGTAAGTTGTCCGATCTGAAGACACGAGTTGTTTCTCGAAGATGTGAATCGACAATTGAGTTGCGAAGGCAGTTTTGCATTGACAGGTCGGTGAACCTGTTTCTTTGTAAGTGATTGGGGTCTGGCAGGGGCACTTCAAATCTATATTCTCTTGAACGCCATGGGTCCTGGATTCGTCGCGGGACTTCTGGCTAGAGCTGTCAACCACGAGCTAACTGGTTGTTGGCTTGTTGTGTGCAGGAACAAACAGATCCGGATGCCTCTTTTCCGACATGCAACATCAGCTTTCACATCCGCAACTTCTGATTCGGCTCAGCACTGCAAGCCGTGCACTGTTACAAGCCGTCGAAGATTCAATTGGGCTTATGGCAGGGCAGGGCAGGGCTGGGCCGGGCAGCGACAAGAACAGGAAGAGTGGTAGGGATGAGTGGTACCGTATCGCATTGCGATGCATACTGCTTTCGATGCGATGGTACGTGGTAGGTAAGGCGCAACGTGGCATTTGGTACACTGTTGTGGGTAGGGTGAATATCAGCAGCCATATTAGTACCATGCTGACAAAGGGAAAGAGTGACTGTGACCACGGCAAGTGACTTTGTGTTGCATCTACGGCCTGCGGACTCTTTCTGTGGAGAGAGCTCGACAGGCAAAGGTGTAGTCGCGTCCTCGTATGGTGTGTACTGACCGGTTGTACCAGACCTGTGCTGCCCGAAAGCAGATTCGTGCCTGCAACCAACAACCTTGGTCAAGCTTCTACAAAAGCGGTTGTGCTTGCGTTACGAATGATTCACGAGTCTGACCGCAGCTGGAAGTGTCAACTGGCTGTCGTTTTGAGGAGGGTTCTGTTGTGCAGCCTTTGTCTCCTGCAGGGCATGTACGGAAGCTACGAGAAGCCGTGCACTTAGCAAAGACTGCCAGAGCGTGTGCACTGTCAACAGCTTGCGTCCCCTCAGACTCGATAGCAGCTGGAGGATGAGCATGTGTGTAGATGAGTGGTTTGCCGTGTGATGCTTGAATGATTGAATGCTTGCACTCAGTTGGAAGAAGTGCCACCCTTGGGGTGCTATTCCGACCGTCGCACCGCACTTTCCTAAGCTTTCCACTTCTTGACACACAGCTTTCTGGAAATGTGGTGTGCAGTCGCTTCGCGAGCTAGAGTTGCAATGGCAGGTTCCATGACTTCAAGTGGAACGACATCGAGGCGAGGGGGGGTGCATGGAAGGGTCCTGACAACCACGGGCGGAAACGACGGGATGCGGGTATCCCGGCCGAGGATCGCCGCCCCGGCTGGGACCGTTTCTGAGCAGGTCTCTGGCCTCTGCTTCTCTCTTGTTCCTACATGGGGTGTTTGGTTTCGCAACCATTTGTGTTTGTTGCTATGGCATGTCGGGAGGGTGGGAGAGATATTAGAGAGTATTACAAATTTCACCAGGACTTCAGCTGCGCAATTTTCTAGGGCAGGGAGAGCAACGTGCTGCAGCATGAAGTCCCCAAAACAACGATCCGCGAGTGCAGCTGCATGGTGGCCTTTTCTTTTGAAGTCACTTGTCTTTCTCGCAAGCTCATGTTAGTTTCCGTAGCAGCTGTAGGATTTTGCCGTCGAGAATGTTGGAGTTCGGCCGACCACGTGTGCGTGTTTTGTTTTCTGTGCAAGACTGCCGCTCCGACGTCGGCTGGCAGAAGGGTAGGGATGTCAAATCCTGCATGCAGCTTCAACATCCTGCTTGAGAAATGGTCCGCTCGCATACTACAACTGATGAATTGCAGACAGACGCATGCAGTGGACTCAGTAGACTATGACTCCTTGCAGCACACGGACACGGATTGGAAGCTGCCTCGTCTTGGCATTAGAGAGTATCGTCGTCCGTGATGAGCTTCCGAGTGCTGCTCTTCGGACCTGCGCGCGAGGTGGGATTCCAAGGTCGATTCTGTTGCGTCCTCATGTCGCCAGATAGTCCGAAGGAGCTCGGTGCGTCAGAAACGAAAGTCGAGGCCGGTCGGCAAGTTGCTGTTGTGATTGTTGCTGCTGCGTGCTGAGTCTGGAGACTTGACTAGACCTGTTCTGATTTGTGTCACTAGAACCGGCAACCAGGATTCTTAAAGGGGCTGCAAATCTTTTCAAGAGATTGGGATGGGTTGCCACGTACAAAGACCTGACCACCCACTTTGAACGACGAGGCCTCGTAGCTGTCTTGGAATGAAGCGCCGTCTGTTCTGGGTCAAGCGGCTCTCACACAGCTTTTATGCTACCCAACAGCAGGGGCGTGGCGTCTTCAGCCCCAGCTAGGTTTGGGGGGATGTCGGGTTGGAGGCATTCTGGGCGGAGTGCGGAAGCTGCAAGAGCATCGCGGCCGGTGTCCGCTGGGATGTGAGATGTGTCTGATCGAAGCCCTGTTGCGCTCCTCGCTGTGTCAGAAGTCGGCAGGTTCAGCTGTCAGAAGGTGAAGCCGCGAAGGTTTGCCATGTCCGTGAGGCAGGAGTGTACCGATGCAACTGAAAAGCCTGTAGATGATGTTTTGATTTGTTCATCTGCTGCAGCGAGGGCAAGGCACGAGGCATTCCAGAAGTTTTTCGAACAAACCCAAACCAAGCCGTGCATGCCTTGCTTGTTTTTCCAGGCGCTGCTAGCCCAGCATCCTTCGCTGAAGGCGATGCTGGCGATGAGCAAGTTCACTGTGAACCAGGCTGGAAGAGTACACGCCAGTTTGGATGTCTCCGTGGCCCGGGGAAGCTTTGCCGAACAGCTGGCATCTGCGAGCAAGAGTCCAAACATCTGAATTTGCATTGTGTCTGTGTGTCTTGTGCAGGAAATGGTTGCTTGCGAGGACAGAGCTTCCGCCTCGATGCTTCCAGCTTTGCCATGCTCTGCCATGCTCTGCCTGTCTCGCCTCGGCTCTCTTGCCATCCATTTCGACGTCTGAAATTTCCCCTGCGTTTCTTTGCGCCCCAGGCTGTTCATGCTGGAGATGAAGTTGCGATGATTCCGCCCATTAGTGGTGGCTAAGCAGTGGCCACTGATAGCTGGTGTGCGTGAGACTCCGAAAGTGGCCAGGTAGACATGAAAAGGAACAGGCCAGGCGTAAGAGAATAGCAAGTTGTACGGCGCAGCTTGTTCACTTCTTGCTGGCTCAAGGAAATTCTGTAATGTAATTTGAGCGATCCATTCGGCTCGACGGCAGATCCTAGCTTCCTGCAAGCTTCGCCCTGTGACAGGCCTGAAGCCCACAATGTCCGCACTTTCAAGAACGCTTCTTCTACAAAGTGTATATCGTGCCGTGCTGATAAGCAAGCCAAAGGTCTGGAACCAGGCAGTTTGTGCTCTGTGTTCTTTTGGATCGCACATCTGCAAAGGGAGCAGCAACTAAATCGCTTAAACGCAGCGCGTGTTATGCAGCCTCCACCATATGGAGTGCCGCCTCCACCGCCCGGCCATTATGCTCCGCCAGGGCATGCTTACGGAGACTTGCTTGCACTCATTGATGTGGTCGAAAGCAAATTACGCTGCGAACACCTCAGGGTACGATCCTTATGCGCGGCCCGAGCTTCACAGCAGCCAGCCTGCCGGCTACTATGCCGGAGCAGGCCTGACATGATCCACTGCACAAAGGCTCTGGAAACAGAGCAGTCAGTGCTGGAAGGTTATGGCCAGCATGATTATTACCGCCAGCAGAACGCATACGGCCACGAACGCCACGTAGAGTATGGCAGTGGCTTCAATGATGGAGAAAGCCGACCAAGAGATCATGGAGCTTCGGATTCGAGTACCACACGATATTCTTTTGTAGAGTCGAGTGTTTTGCAGCACTTTGCATGGCTTTGAGCTGGATGCTCTTAGTGCTTTAGTTTATACTGGCTCAGACCAAGGCAGCAACGCTGATCGAGGTGACCGGTTTGAAGGCCACCCCGAAAGTCGGCAGCGGGACTACCCCAATCACCAGGGCGACTGGGAAGGGAGGGGCGATCACCGGGACGATCGGCATGAACGTGGCGAACGTGACAGAGATCGTCGTGACAGGGACCGTCGTGATAGGGACGAGCTCCACAATTCTGGTGGGGATCATGGTCCTGCCCTGAGCTTTGTATGAAGTGTGTCTTTTGGTTCCCGTGGCTTCATGCGGCGCTCAGGTTTCGATCGGCGAGCTGGGCATGGTCCCGCTGGCGACGACAGGACGCTGAGAATGCGCTGATCTCCCGAGCTCCGAGCTCCGACTTGGACTTGGCAGGAGAGACCCGGCGGATCACAGAAGAGGCCATGAAGGCAGGAAGCAAACTGCGCCTGGGCTCGGCGGCTCCTGAAGAGGCCGCAGCGACGCGGCGCGTGACCCGCGTCCTCCGAAAGGTGGCAAGGGAGGCGCTTTTCACGACGACTCAGACGCGAGAGAGATTCCACTGGAAGCTTTGAAGGCCGTGGCCGCGGTGGCCAGGGCAGCCGGGAGCTGGCGCGGTCGAGGAGCCGAAGATCTTGCAGAATCCAAAGACGTGCCATTCCACTTTCTTTGATCTCTTTACTGGTTGCGGTCTTTGCGGTGGCGTGTCAGATCCTGCCGTCTCCGTACCTCTTCTCGGACTGTTTTTTGCAATCAGCTCTGCATGTCGTGGCTGGTGGCTGGCTATCATGTATTTTGATCTGTTGGTTTGTAAGGTCTTATGTGCGCAGTTGTGTGTTTGTACTGACCACGGAGATATTGCTGGAGTGAGTAGTTTGACTTCTCATGTCGTTGTGTTTCACGTCTTCTGCTCCAGACACACTTTGTTGTCAGGTTTATGCCCTTACCGTAGCTTGTGCATCGACCTGTCTCGCTTCTTGCTTGCTACATAAGATCTCCGGTCTGCAGTAGACTACCTTGGATTGCCTATGGTCCTGACTGCTCGGTTGATGTGCTTCTCTGAAAAAGCCTTGTCGTCATTAGGGTTCAGGAATGCAATGACATAGCCTGTGATTGTAAAGTCAGGTTTAACAGTTTAACTAATACTGCTACATTGCTACATCATGTCAAGCAGACAATCAGTTCATTATCATAAATCTTCATTGGAGCGAATGTTGGCGTTTATGATTCTGTTACGGTGGCGAGAATGCTGGATTTTCAGTCACGGCTCGTTTAAGCGGTAATGCTATGTTGCTGCTGCTACAAAGTCTAATTGACAGAAGTGGAAGGCTGTGTCAGCGCTGTGACGAAACACACGTCTTTCGATATCACTGGAACAGCAGCGCTTGTGATTGCAGCCCAGCAGAGTATCAAATGCTTCGATAGCAACTGTTGCTGTGTTTTTCTCAATGTCATGGCAGAGGGCAGATCGATGATCCCATGGCTCCAAGCGGTTCCAGGGATGCTTGATTTTGTGATTGTCCTAGAGAGTCTGTTTTTTCGTTTTCCGATCATGTTCATGATAAGGTGTATGGCTTCAAGTTTCAAGACCACGTCGGTGGTACTTTACTTGGGATTTGGAGTGATTTTCTATCATTCAGTTATGACTTGTGCATTTGTCATCCGTCTTCTTTATCATTCGTCTTCATTTTTTCGGCTCCACCTTCTGGTTACTCATAATCGAGTTGCTGTTTCTGATTTTGGTCTTAGTATTGGTCCGGAACTCGGCTTATGACTTTCGCTCTGACATTCCTGACGACTTTGGAAAATCTTTTGTCCATGGATGCTTCACGGATGCATCGATGTGTTTTCAGCCCATCAGGGGCTTTCTGTAAAACTCTACTGCCTCTGGCGAGGGCCTAAACGCCTTTGGTCTCCATTTCGCATGAATGGTACATGTCGCTTGAGGCGTGCCTCAAGTGTTGTACAAGAGCAGGGCAACCTTGGAAAAGCTAGGTGAAATTTGGAGCAAGAGGGAGAGAATGCAAAGGATGCGAACGGTAGTTCAAGAAGCAGTACGTGATGCTCGGCAGTGGTATGTTCATGGTGATATTGTGTCGCATGGCAGGACAGTGAAAATTGCATTTCCATCAAGTAGCAGGGCCGTCATGCAGATATAACCCCCAGCGGTCTGATCTTGCAACCCTTCAGCCCCAACATGCGCATGAATTTGAGAAAAGTCATGTAGGACCCAGTGGCTCGAAATTTGTGAGATTGTCGATGGTGTTTTGGTGGAGGAGCCGCAGCCGAAGGCGTTCGAGATCGGGCTCCTCTTCTGGGTCCCCACAAGAGAAGAAGCGCATGCGTCCCTTGTCCACTAAACCAGAGGTCGGAGGTTGCGGAAGCGCTGCTCCGTAATATTCCGGCCCATGGCCCAGGCAAGGCCGCAGGCTTCGACAGCGTCACGAAGCCTCGCGAGGCTGGAAAGGTCCCCACCGAGGTGACTTCGACGAAGACTGCACTCGAGCTTTCCAAGATCGCTCGCATTGCTTCGCTTTCCCCAAGGCAGCTCCGCAGAGAGGTCTCGCTTTGGCGCCCGGCCGCAAGGCGAGAAGACGTTTTTCCCTTTGTTTCTTGTTTTCCGCCGTATCCTTGCGGCTGCTTGTCGCTCAATCTGTTGTCAGTCCTCTGTTGCATGATCTTCGAGCCAAAGCGCACACGCTGAAACTTCTGCAGCGTGGGTTCAACCGAAGGCAGACGTTCACGGCCTGAAGGGTGCTTCACAGTACAATGGCAGCAGCCCTACTCTGTGTTTTTTGTTTGCTTCCTGCATTCTTTCAAGGGCAATGGCGGGGTTGCAGGGCCAGGTGCTGTTTTGCCTAGGGCTTGTGGTTTGCCGGGCCACCAGCAGGCTGCGAAGGCATCGTCATCGAAGGGCCAAACGACAAAGGACGCTGGGAAGTGCAGGCTCCGTTTGCTGATGTGACGTGTTGGGCTTTATTTCTGCTCTATCTTCGTATGGACACCTTCGATTCTGTGCAGGTGGACTACCAGTGCGAAACTAAAACGTGTGAGGCTTGGCAAGCAATGAGCTGTCGCCATGACCTTGCTGGAGGATGCTTGGTCGCTCGAAGTGTTTCCGACTGCAGCCGCTGTGGCTCACAAACTTGGAGTTTCGTTTGAGTGCGACGCGATCCAATCGTTTAGGCGAGAAGAGAGTGCAGAAGCTGAAACTCGGAGGCTTCAAGCATTCCGTCCAGCCAGGCAATGTGTTCCGTACCACGGGGGGAAAGCTTCCCTTCACTGACACTCCCAAACATCCCAGCACCACCATGTTCCAACATCCCAACCTCTACCACAGTGGTTTACCCGAATGGCGACGCCGACGCGGCGAGTGTTCGGTTCGTTCTACACCTCCAATGTGCTGGACTTGCTGAGGCCGTAGGACGATGTCGCCCCAATCCATTCACAAGGACCTGCACGGCTCCTGTCCGCCCAGGCAGCCAAGGGGCCAATTCCAGCCACCGACGAGGAGATAAACGCCTCGCTGAGTTGTTTTTCGGCGCTCTTCGAAGTGTCGCATTGCAGGCCCTTCCCACTGCCGTCCTCCGACCCGGGCAGCCTGGGCCTTGCACCCAGCGGCCGGTCCTGAGGCACGCAAAAAGAGCCATGCGGAGCTGCCGGGGAGGGAGGGAGCGACGGTTTTTTTGGCACACGGCTGTAGAGGCCCCAGTGGCCACTTCGGTGCAGAAGCGCGCAAGCACTTCTGCCTCGAGGACTTGCCGCTTTCTTCCAAACAGAGCACTGCGTGAACTCGCATGAATTCATGTGGTCTATGCTGGCGAGGATGGCTTTACGTTCCTGAACCATGGTGCCTTCGGCGCCACACTGAAAAGTAGTCTGGAAAGCAAGCGGCGCTGGGCCGAGCACATCGAGACGCAGCCCGTCCGCTTTTTGGATCGAGCCTCGCTGGCAACCTTCCGTGAGGTCCTGTTTGGTCAGTAGCTGCTGCAGCCCAAAAGTATCCGATGAATGCGGACTCGACTCCAAGGAGAGCTTTTCCCTTCGATGGTCAGCGTGACCCGCAGCTTGAGCCAGGCACCTGGGATTGGGGCAAGCTTCCCGACCCGAGAGAGGAGTCTGGCCCACGGCCAGGTGCTCTCCGTACCTGCAGAAGACCTGCTGCCAGCACTTTGGCAGCTGCAGTCGTTGAGCAAATTGGTCGGTTGAGGCACTGAACGTCACGTCGCCAACCACCTCACACTTGTCTGCGTTGTATACAACCAATCGCACAGGCTGTTGTCGTATGGCTTTTCCTTGTAATTAGCTGGCAGCAACAAGGCAGCCACGACATCAGTTTCAGAGGAAGCACCGAAGGAACTGGTGAATTCATCTGACAACCGAGAAACTTGAGAGCCGACTCCACGACAGGACGCAGTTTTTCAGAGGAACCTCCACTTGCAGCAGGGTCCAAGCTTCCAGTTGTTTCTTGGCTCGGTCAGCTCAGGTTCCCAGTGCCACGCTGGGAACGAATGCGGTCCTCAGATCCTGGCAGCGCCAGAGAAAGCCCGATGACTCCCAACGCTTCTTGGCTTATGAGGTGTCAAGCTCACGGCGTTCCCTCTCCGCATACCTTGGAGAGTCCCTCTTGGTCAGGAGCGGTTATCCTTTCGGTGGCTTATGGCTCTACCAAGAAGCTTCTCAAGAGGATGTCCGAGGAGTCTGGCTTCCAGGCCACTCGTGCCGGAGAAAGTTGTGCTTCCTACAGGTTACCACCGGGGTCTCTAATTCAAGCTCAGGTTGTTGAAGCAACCGTCGATTTTCCGTTGGCTGGAGACGCGGAGGAGCTGGCACTACATTGCTGAGATGGACTACGTCCGTGTTCAAGATATTGTTGACCGTGTGGAGAACTCATCGATTGCTGTTCTGCCGTGTTGGTGGCGAGATTACTGTACGCGGTAATATTTCCGAGTTGGTGGTCGACAGCTTTGCTATTCTGAATCCGTCTTCTGGGTTTACATTACATCGGTCTCTGGGCTGGTCGGTTTGGGGACTGGGTTTCGGCAAAGGTATTTTGGTTGTCCAAACCATCAGAAGGGGTGCATTTTCCTTCGCAGAGCACCTGCTGGAGGACTGGGATAAGTTGGGGAATGCAGATGGACCACCTCCAAGCTCAAGTCGGAAACAACTTTACGGCGGTCTTGAACATATATTTCGGCGGTGAAGATAACATGTATTGTACTGTACAGCTGAGCTTCCAACCCACAGCTCACATCAACCTGACCTCATCCCGCCTTGGAATGCCACGGGCTGCTTCTGTGTTAGTGCTACTGGTACAAGTATCTTGTGAGGCCCCAGTGATGCATGAGGCACCAAGGGTACTCAGAGGTTTCTTTGCCCCAGAGCCTTCAAAGCTTTGACGTGGGCCCAGCAGGAGCGGATCCTCGCGTCTCTGGAGGGCAGCCTACAGCCCAACACATCTCTCGTTATTCTGGATGCAATACCCTCCAATGCTCCCTTCGTGCTTTGGCTCAGGCATGCACGGCTCAAGAGGGAAACCATCCTTCCTGTCGTGAGACCCGCCGAAGCCAAGGTACTGCCACTCCGAGAGGCCGTGGCGCTCTGCCGCGCTAAAGCTCCCGAGGTGGGAAGTGCTACCGTCAGAATTTGGTGTCAGTGGCTCCGTTGATCCGCTGCATCAAATGGGTGAGGCTTTCGTCATGGTCGATGCGGCGCATGGACTCTTCAGCACCTGAGCTGCCCTGGAACATCTCACGACCCAGGTCCGGTTCTTGGAAGCTTTGAGGCTTACCTCTGAAACTCACCGGTCCCTCCGCGGTGCCTGTGGACGCGCTGGTGACCAACTGTTCGGTACTTGGCGTGATCATGGTTCGGTGACGCACAACTGCTCTGCACGCATGTTATCAGTCCGAGGTCACAAATGGTTCTGTGGACCGAAGGGCACCGCAGTTCTGTATGTCGCCCCCGAGCACCAGAAGTGGGTGGACCCCTTGGTCATCTCACATGGATACGGGCTTCCTGACAGATTGGATCCGAGCGTCTGTAGTTGGTCATTACTGCCTTACCGTACATCCATTGCATCTGGAGCTTGGTTCAGGTCAGACTTTCCCAGCGGATTCTATTGGCCCGGGCTATCAGACTTCACATCGTGGCTAGCTCTGGATGAAGTGTTGGCCTTCTGGGACTTAGAAGCTCGGTTGCACTGGTGCCCATGCTTCCTTGTCCTGGTTGCTACATGATTCGGAGCTCAGGTTGGGTTGGAGCCCGCAAGAATCTATGGAAATTACCTGGTCATGGATGCCGTGACTTGGCTTCTTTTGAGTCCCTGGTGGTCTTCTACGGGTGAATCTGCAAGGCGACGATGCTGGCTGAATCTTGGGACACCTCTTTGGGCATCCCGGACAGCTGATTGATGTCGTCTTCAAGAAGAGTTCAGCAGTTGACACTGCCTATCTTTTCAGGAGGACTTGCTCGGACCGATGGCTCTTGTGGCATTGCCAACATTCAAGGCGCTGCAAGATCGCAGGCAGGAGTGTCTGGGATGCGGTCGTGGAAGGCTAATGCATCGACATGTAGTTTCGCTGTGGGTCTGCACCGGGAGTACTAACATCGCCGTAAGGTATACGTACGATGACGCCGAAGCGGTGCAGAATGCCTTGTTCCAACGGAGGATTGAAGTTCCCGTCAAGGTGCTATCTGGGAATTTATATGCTCGTTTCTCGGCGGCAGCAAACAGCTTTTCCAAGCAGCCCTCACTCGTCAAGGGTCTTCGGGTGTCCGCAGGCATATCTGCTCACATCTACAACCACATCGAGGACGGCCACCCTGCAAGTTGAGATTTGCATGACAGCCAGCAGCCAGCACGCTTCGCGTTGATGTTGGACATCCATGCTGGCCGCGTGGAGGAGTACGAGACATTGAGAGATGCCGTCCTGGAGCTTCAGCACTTGGACCAGCTGTAAGAATCTTCTCGCGTTGCATTTGGCATGTCAGCATGTCTAATGTGCACAAGCCCCAAGCCGACAACTGTTTAACTGCTTCCGTGCGCTGGGTGCAATCTTCTCGTATGGACACGAGCAAGAAGGAGGAAGGGCGTGAGATGGCACGGGTGATGCCTCGCTCCGCTTCCTGGCCGCCGCTTAAATTCCGAAGCGGCCGGCCTTGTAAGAGTCACGGAAGTGAGGCTGAGAAGAGTCGCCACACTCCTTCCGCCTGTCCTTGTCAGTGCCAATCGCCGACGTTGTCAGGATGAGCAAAGGCCCTCATCAGCGAGTCGCGTGAAAAACATTTTTCCCGAGACTTCAGCCCTGCTTGACATGGCCATGTCAGCCATAAGCCATCGCTTTACTCCACTAGCCTGTCAGCTGAGGCTTTCCCTCCTAGAAAGCAACCTGCAGCCCAAGCCTTCCTGTGGCCGGGCCCTAAGCCCTAAGCACCAACACGCAAAAAGCCTTAAGCCGTTGAACATTCGATGAGGCTGGGAGCTTGTCATCGCACCGATTGCGCTAGGCCTTTGAGGGAGAAATGCCGTGGCTTCAGCTGGTGCGAGTGCGGTGGCAGGCATCAAAGAGACGGACGTCTCTCAAGCCTTATCCGTGTGGAAAACTCAGTGTTCGTGCCCTCAAGTGACGTATCAAGAGCGCGTAGAGTTCGGGGCTCATCTGTAAAGTCGCGAAAGCCTCTTCGTCACAGCTGAGATCTAAGTCTGGCAAGTGCCCAGGCATGGGAGAGTGCGACATGTGAAGATGACGGATCCTCCGGCCTGGGTCTCGACTTCCTGCAGTGATTCTGAGTTGCGGTGTGGGCACCGTCTCTTTTCCTCGTAGCAATGGCGCCTCATGATGCATGAGCCACTCCGAGAACCTTCATGCAGCTGACTACAACTCTTCTTGTTCCTTCCAATATTGCAAAGCAACCACTCCCACTCTTCGCGCCCGGCGTCTATGGTGCGACTGGTGGGGCTCACTGGGCCGATCGCCTGCGGCAAGTCTACTGTGAGCGCGCTGCTCGCGGAAGGAGGAAGCGGGTTCTGTTTCTTCTTGATCCGAAAAGTTGGTGTCGGTGTCCACAGTCCGATGTGCAATCCCCACTGCCCTCATGGAATCTGGACAGGCTGGCCTGTCGTCGATGCCGACAAGATTGCACATGAACTCCTCGCTGACACTTCTGGTGCCTCGCACCAGCCGAGTGTGCACATGTCTGTCAGACAGTGTGTGTGTGTGTGTGTGTTTGTGTTTGTGTGTGAACGGTTCTCGTTCCTGGACTTAGGGAGGTCACTCTCCAGTCGTTTGCAGATCAACCAGCACTCTTCATGCCAAGCGTAATAACAGTATCACTTGCTCTTCGGTTTCCTTGCAACATGTCTGTGATGTGTCAGCTTGATTCAATTGAAGCATGCCTTTTTCGATCTCACATCAGGGATGTCGGTGATGTACCAGCTTACTTCGCAGTCAACGATGTGCATGAGTTGCTCAGGATACAACTCGACTCGCTACAAACAAGGAAATGCATCCAGTTTTTTCGTATCTCGAAATCCGTCCATTGAAGAAAGTGTGACTGTGTGTGCGCGTGTGCGTGTGCGTGGGCGTGTGCTTGTCTGTTTAGGGTTTGACACTCCCAGTAGGCTTGGTGTCTTAAAGCCAGTCGGGCGAACATGCATAGATAAATGGTGGGCATGCATGTGTCTGAGGTGTCTTTTTTGCTTTACATGCTTGTCGGATAGATGGCTGCAAGGAGAATCACGACATGTAAGTCGGCACGCACAAAGGCAGCTGCAGTAGACTCCTCTCTTCAGCACATGATGGGATGATGGCCGCACAGTACGTGATGGTGATGATTTTGAGGACGACAGCGTCGCTGATCAATGCTTCCTCTGCTTCTTCTGCTTCTGCTGCTGCTGCTGCCGCTGCTGATGCTGTCATGCTGCTGCAGATGATGATGATTATGGCGGTGACGACGAAAATGATAATCATCGTCACGACAATCATGACATGATGATGCTTGGGATGGTGATGATGGTGATCAGGATGCGGATGGTGATCATGGGGATGAGAACAATGGAGATGGTGTAAAGCAAAAAGGGTTATGCGCGGGTGAGTGTGTGTGTGTGTGTGCAAATAGGCACTTGCCGCTAATGGCCGTGATCCAAGCAGTTTGACAACAAGAAGCTGTGCAGTAACTGAGTTTTCTGCCGCACACGGGGTCTGACCATGAACGGTGTTCTTCTACAGTGTTTCGCTTCTTGCTTACCATGACAACTGAATGCTCTCATCGTGACTGCAGCTGCTTCTTCTAACAGCTGCTTTTGCGGCTCTGAATAGACAGAGTGGCATCCCTCGTCCCGATGGCTCGTTCAAAGCCTTCCAAGGCCGGGGTCCGGTTTTCGTGGCTTTCATGTGCTTGCGGATCCAAAAGCCGGACCCCCAGCAAGAAAGGGACCCCCAAGCAGATGAGCAGAGAGTAAGTCCCATTGGTGGTTCACGTGGAGGCAACTTCAGGTTGCCTTCCAGACCCCGAAGAGACGCCGGAAGTCTGGTCACAGCAGTTCGCCCTCACAGAGCCCCACTGCACTCTTCCTCTGAGGCTTGGCCCAGGTTTTCGTGCCACACATGGAGTTTTCGCAAGCCCAGAACCACCCCAAAACCACTCCAAACGTCCTGCGCTGATCAGAAGCCCCCTGCCCAAGAAGATGAGCACAAGAAGGATGAGGCTGCGACCAGACGGTGGGAACACCCGGAAAGCGGTATCTAGTGTCAGGTTTAAAATTTGATGGCTCTCTCTCCATCTGTTGGCTTGCTCCTTGCTTGCGCCAGGTGTCCGTGCCTGGGCCAAACAGCATGACTGCGATAACTCGACCGGGCCATGACTACTCCCGCAAGCTCATGGTTCCGACCACAAGTGTGCAACTCTTGGTGGAAACTGGTGATGCAGAGTGGCTTCTGACAGAGACTGGCGGGCAAGCTGGCTGGGTGGGTGGCGACCAGTCCAGCTGTACAATGGCAGAGACTTTTTCAGACAAGGCCGGCAATAATTTCTGAAGTACAAGGCCAGAAAGTGCACCGGTTTGTATCGAGGTCTGCACGGTTTGCTTTTGTCATGATCGCCAATTTTTGCCAAATGCAGACTGGCTTGCGTCACCTCAGGAGGACGTTGCTGCTCTTGCGGCATGTGAGCCCGCTCCCCCTCCGCGAACATCGGAGCTGCAGCTGGGGCCTTTATCATCGGTTGTGTTGCCGCCGCCGCCGCCACTCCCAACCACCCCGATGGAGGGGATGTTGGAAGGCCATCGCTCTTACCACAAGAGACCAATGAGTTGTATATAGTCAGGTTAAATAGGCCAGGTCAATCCAGTAGAGCTGTGAAATTGTAATTTGTGAGTCTTTGATGCTTAAGCAGGAAGGAGATGACGGAGAAGGCGAAGCTGCTGAAGTCGACGTGCCGCCTCCGGCACCGATGAACGCAGGAGGCGCAATGGGCCTAACAACCAGACTGCTAAGCGATCAGCTCGACGTGAAGCTCTTCGTGAGGCCAAGAAGTTGGAATGTAAACCCGCCAGGGCAAGAGTTGCGAAAGATAGCTTGAAAGAGCTTCCGGGCGGTGAAGACCTGCGACTGTTGCCTGATGCCATTCTTTGCTTGCAGACGGCAGTGGAAGAGGCGGTTTCCCGGCTTCTCTGTGACAGCCAAATCCTAGCCACTCATTGCAAATGCATAACGTTGTTTCCGTTCGGCTTGCATGTGGCTTTGCTCTTGCGGGAGCGTGCCGGCGATCCTTTGCAAATGGATGTCTCGCCTAGCTTCAGCAGCCACAGCGCCAAAGGGAGAGGTCTGCAGGATCGGGGTTTGCGTGCAGGCCCTTACACGCGGGGTCCGGTTTTTGAGCTTCCTGTGCCCATCAAGCTTCAAAAGTCGGACCCCCGCAAACATCCATAAGCCCTTACAGGTGGGGTCCGGCTTTTGAGCCTCCTGTGCCCGTAAATCTCCAAAACTCGGACCCGCAAATATTTTTGCAAAAGAATGAGCTTGGTTTGGGCGGGGCAGACACGTCCGTGCTTTTCAGTGAAGGCTGTGCACAGATGTTGCTGCTGGCAGAGACGTCTCTGCTGCACAGATGCTGAAGGGGTTGCCGAGCAAGATACAGCTGCTTTGGTCAGAGGGTCCGACCAGTGCACAGTCATGTTAGGTTCGATTTTCAAGTGTGGGTTTTTTACGCCCTGTTGTGGTTGCAAAGTCATGCACTCGTGCGTGGCAAGGGCACCTTTCCTTCTGCCAGCGAAGACGTCCACTTGCTCTGGTGATGCATGCCCAGAGATTACGCGCCATAAATCTGGCCGTTTGTTTGTGTAACAGAAGTGTGTGCATGACACGTGCCAAAGCACAGACGCACCCTCACACCAAGGTACAATTCACAAGCGAGTCGTCTCTGAGTTTGGGACGACGGTGTTGGATTCCGAGGGTGTCATTGACCGGGAAAAGCTCGGCAAGGTGATTTTTTCAGACCCCGCCAAGCGGAGGAAACTCGACAAGGTGCCAGTGTTAATGCGCTTCGCCTCGACAGCTTTGCTTGAATGTTGCGAGGCTACGCATGGACCCATCTTGACGACCATTGTGAAACGGACCCTATGGCTTATGCTACAAGGCGGAAAATGCTCTGTGCCGTGGAGGAGTCGGAAAGCAAGTCTTGTGAGACACCGCGAGGTCACCGCACCATCGTCTTGGACGTGCCGTTGCTGCTCAAGTTCCCGGTCCTGCGCCGCCTTTGCCTCTCTGCCGTCCTCGTGGTGCTGGTGTTGCTTGGGCCAAATAGAACTGAGTTTCCTGTTCGTTTTGGGTAGGCTTGCCGGCCTCAAGCTTTCATGTGTGTACGCAGTTTGCCGCGAGGAGTGAGTGCAGAGGTAGAGATCCCGGCACCAATGTGTAAGCCGTGGGGACCACCTTGTGCCGGGATGTGCGAACGATTCCCTGTAAAGCACCCAGGTCCCCGGAGACGCAGCTGACACGCCTGATGGCGCGGAATGACCTGTCTGAGGATGAGGCTGCCCATTTCTATGAAGACGTCAGATCTTGTGCCGTCTGCATCCGCGAACTTTTCGGGCAGCCATGAACCAAATCAGGGCCACGGAGCAGTTTTGCTTTGTGCGCAGGCCCGACGAAAGATCGATTCGCAGCTCTCTGGGGAGGCCCAGTGCAAGCTGGCAGACTTCGTCATTGAGAATAACGGTGCCTCTCCAGAACAGAACGTAGAGGGTAGAGCGCCCTGCTTCTTTCGGACAGCTGTTGAGTATCCCGCAATCCCTTCAATCTGCACATCAGTTTAGTTTCAAGCCAGTTTGACATTTTCGCACAGTACACAACCTCCAGGAAGTTTCGAAGATCTACGCCGAAGTGTGGCCGACCTCCAGCATCAGGCAGGAGCCGGATCTCTTTCCAAAATTCGGTGCGGTCTTGTCTTGGGGAGGCGCCTCAAGGATGGTCCGCAGCGTTGGTGGCCGAAGCCATCGCCGGAGCGGCCGCCCTCTGCGCTTTGGCGTCCCATGCAGCGGCCCACGCGAGCCTCCTCCCGCGATCCTCCCTGTGATGCAAAAAAATGCACGTGAGGAAGCATTGCTGCTTCCAGACGCATTTGTTCCTTTGGACAGCTCATCTCAGGGCGTCTGTCTGGCACAGATGGCCTTGAAAGAATCGGCGGAGGCCACACTGCCCCTCTTGACAAGCTTCTAACTTATTAAGGCTTCTTCAAGCTAGTCGTACCCCCGAATGCCAAGTGCTGACCTTTTGCCAGGCAGCTCTGCAAAATTTGCGGCGATTTGAGATCAAGGGCACGCAGGTTTCGCTTGGCCGGCATGCTTACGGGGTTTATGTTCGAGCTTTGGCCATCGTCAGAGCTCTGCCTGCAGGGTGGACTGGAGTACCATGGCCAAGACGGAAATGGGTACCCCGTCTTCGCTTTGGTGACGGTGTCAGGTGGCATCGGCAGGTTTCCATAGGGTTCCTTCGACAGGTCTCTGCAACAAGCGCCACCAGAAGCCGCCGGATGAGCCGCCTCCAAGGAGTGCGGATGAGGGATGCAGAGGGACGCGGCCCGGATCGGCCTGATGCGTGCGCCGAAGGAGTTTCAAAGAAAGCACAGCGCAGGAGTCGGAGACTAAGCCTTCCGGAGCGAGGGCGATGACATGCTCTGAACAAATCGACAGAGATGAATTGCAGAGAGGTTTGGCTTCCAAATGGGACAGGCTCACCGGCTCACCCTTAAACACGCCGTCTCAACTCTCACATTCGGGAGGCGGTGCTGATTTCGAACCTGAAAGGAGCACCTCAGGCCTGGGGGCCTGGGCATGGCACACCGCCGTAGTGTCGTAGTTGGGCTCAGCTCGCACGGGCCGCTTGCGCAGTTCAACGGCTGCAGCGCTGCTGTGGTCGGCTTCCGCTCGGACCGAGTGGAAGTGGAAGTGGAGGCGTCAGTGCTTCCGCAAGCTATTTGCAAGCTATTTGCAAGCTATTTGCAAGCTATGTGAGCATCTGTTTCCCCGTTCTGTCCGGCAGGCGGAGGGGACAAAGAAGATCTTGGCGTTGAAGCCCGAAAATCTCAGCGCATCAACAGGCAAGGCGACAAGTGGCAAGACCCTGGCATGCTCTGCAATGCTCTGCAGGGCTCTGCAATGTTTTGCTTCCTTCTTCCCTCCGGGCACTTCTTTGAGCCTCTCTGGGCGCTGCAGGCCAGGCTGAGCCACCCAAGGCGCAGTTTGCAAATTTGAGTCACGGGTTTGCAGGACACGCAAGACGCGCAGGGCAGCATGAGAAGATCGTAGCTTTGAATCTCGCTGCTCTAACACGGCCCTTTCAGGCTGAGGAGGCATCTGCCGAGCAGGTACCTGCCGAGCAGGTACCTGCCGAGAAGGCCTGTCTGGTATGGCGGGTTCGCAGGCAATGCTCGACAAGGGGGTTAATGAGAGCAACAGCTAGGTCAGCTAGGTTGGGGTGCATGCAAGTTGTCCGGAATTCTGGCATTCGGCGGGATCTCTGCAATGCTCCCAGTCGGCTGCCAATGTTCTCACGGTGTGGCCATGAAAAGGCTCCGGAGCCCCGACGCCGCCGTGGCAAGTGGGAGGAGCAGGGCCTTCAGCTTCCAACCTTTCGTCGCGCGAGTCTTCTGGAGCGACAAACGTCACTCAGGAACAGCGGCGGTTTCGTCGTGAACCAGGCCAAGAAAGGCCGGATTCCAAGGGCACACGTCCCAACAACTCCGTTTGCGCCGTCATGTCTGAGGCCCAGTGGGCCCAAAGTTGCCGCCCCTGGCTGACTTGGAAGCGATGCCTGTCGGGTGCCCAGGGCATCGCGTGTTGCCCGGACGTCGGCCCGTGGTGGATCCCAAGGTGAAAGAGCTTAAGCAAGTGCTCGTGGCAGCCTCCTCGGATGTAGACGTGGGAGACATCCTGCAGGCCCTTTTGATGCTACGTATGCCGAGATTCCGAGGCTCATGACGTTAACATCACGGGCTGCGGGCATCTCAGAGGACACATGCGCTGAGCCCCAAGCATTCGCGAGCCACTGAGGCCTGGAGAGAGCCGAATTCCTGGCCAAGGCTTGCAGACGCAGAGTTTCAGACTGAAATGCTTGTCTTTGTCTTGGCATTGCCCCGAAGGCCAAAGAAGTGGCAGAACAAAGAGCTTAGCGACGCTTCGAGGACAACTGCTGCAGTTGCTAGCGAAGGCTTGGGTATCGGCTGCATAGAAACTATACGTATGGAAAGACAAGGGCTTGCTTTCAGAGCGAGCTTTAGGTGCCTTTTGCTGTGCGCCTGTCGCTTCAACTTCTACATTCAGGATGGACTCTGCAGCGGGATCTGGAAGGTGTTTCACCATGCGTTACAAATGCGGATCCAACGACCTATCCTCGTACAGTCCAAAGCAGTCGGACATCCCAAGCCACATGCCCACTGCAATCAATGCCGAAGTATCATACTTGTAGGAACCCTGAAGTGTCCAAGCGGCCACCAAGCAGTCCTCTGGAGAGTCCGGCGCCTAAGAGGAGAAAAGGGTCGCAGTGTGTACTGGAGAGTCCTTGCCATGTAGACGTTTGAGCGGAAGGTGTGTTTCAAGGGGTCACATGGTCCCAAGATGTAAGAGGCTCAGAGCGGCCATAGCGACAGGTGGATCTGTAGGTGGTTCAGCTGGCCCTTGGAGCCCTCATGCATCGCCATGCAGGGTGCCGAAGCAGCTTCCGCAGCTTGGGCAAGTGCTGCTTGGTGGCTAATGCTGATAGCTGTGAGCTTGGCGTGCCTCGTGCTGGTCCGGAAGGCATTCGCCGAAGAACACGCATGACATGAGACGAGATGTTTCGCAGTTAGGGCTTCATCCCACAGGGTGGATTGGTACAGGAGCGCTAAGCCCAATGCTTCTGATCCCGAAGGTGCTGCTTAGCAATCCTGTCGGGAGCATCCGGCATTGGTACGAAGCCAGCAGCTGGCAGAAAAGTGTGTCCAGAAAGCCTGCAGCCGTCGTTCCAGAAGCAGGAGCTGCATCCCCGTCGTGGGTGGACGACATGGTATGCGCTGAGCTGCAGGAGGTTTATGCGGGCATGGTAAGGACCTGCTTCGTGTACATTGTCGGACCTTTTTGCTTCCTCACGGTAATGCTTTCGGTCCTCCGTGATGATATAGCCTTCCCCGACTTGCACCTGGTCGCTGAGAAAGCATCATTTCGTTTTCGCGCTCGCTTCTACGAAGTCGCAAGGAAGCGCCTAGTGACAAGTAGCTGAGGCGCTTGAACTCTAACATGCTTCCGCTCGTGGTGGCAACTCTCCTGACAGTCTGCAACCCCCCCGAACCTTCAGCTGCAACTCAGAAGTGCCCCGAAGCTGAAGTCAATGTGGCTTTGCAAGAGTGTCCAAAACCGAGGCGCGCAGAACGCAACTGGGGCTCTGGCTTCTGCTCGCTTTTTGGTTTGCCTCGACGCTCGCCGTGACCCTGCAGCATGTTGGTCTGCGAGACAACTCTCGAAGAGGGAGCTGGTTTACTCAGGCACACCTGCTCCTTTCGGAATGGCACCTTCACGAACAAGTCTGGTTGAACCACATGTTTTTCGTGACTGTTGTCTCCGAAGTGCTGCAGAAGCTTGGCAGATTTGAGAGCATTTGCGCTCAGCAGGTTCTGATACGGAGAGATCCGGTGTCAGATTTCGTGTCGGAGCGTAGAGCTGAGCATGTACCGGAGGATGCCTCCGCTGTTGATTTGGGCCAACACCCTTCTTCACTCTGCATTCTTCATAGCTCTGACCGTGGTCAATGACTATCCCAGTGATTCGCCATCACTCGAGCTGCAGCTGCTAATGGTGATTGTTAGAATTGCATGTGGGAATCTCGGCTTTATTGACGGCGCTTTGTTCCCGTCCCATTCTCTGCTTTCTGAACCGCCCGCAGGTTGTGAAAGATGGTTCGGAACTAGTCTTGTCATAGGTGTGCCATATTTTGCGGTTTTGCCACCACTAAGAGATCATCTTGGAAAAGATGTAGGACCTCGGGAAGCTCGAGTAAAAGTCGGAGTCAGAGGTTGTCCGGGTAGTCCGACCAGTTTTTTCGCGCTCAAGGCACTACACCCAGCTGGTGTCCAAGGCAGTCGAAGGCTGTGCACGCGCGGATGTGCTGGCACAGGCGCATGCTCTGATTTCTCAGTCGTCCTCCGGGCTTTCGAGGGAGGGGTGGCAGTGAACTCCCGCTGAAGGATGCTTCGAAGCTAGCGGCCTTGAGTCGCTCTGCGGCTGAACAGGTGCTCCCGGCGCTCCTTTTCCCTTTCCCTTTCTCGTTGCTTGGCAGAGCTTGTTTTTCACAGGCTCTCGTGGAAGCAGACGAGGAGGCCACTCGCGCTCGGACGGCCCAGGTGGAGTTGTCCCTGGCAGAGGACGGAGACATTTCTCTTTTGGGCGAAGCTCCTAAACCTAGCACTTTTCTAAATTGCGGTCCGATGCGATCCGCAGGCCGAGGCGAGGGCCGTTGAGTCTGTGCGAAGTGCACAGCTCCACCTCTTGAAAGTCATGTGCGATGCCGTGATAGAGGTGGATGCCGACATGCGGATCATTGAGCCAGGAAAGCTGGGGTTGATGCTCTACCAAAGCAGCCACCGCAACCTCGCTGGAACCAGGTTCGTGGACCTGCTCAACCCGAAAGAAGTGGATCTTGGAGCTTAAGTCACGGTCCAGGTTGCGCTCTTTGATAGTCGTGCACAACAACAGGCAAGGTGTAGACTCAGTGTAGACTGCAGACGCATCGTAAGGATCGCTTCCAATGCTTCTGCCGAGACGATCAGCACCGGCTTTATCCGCTACAAACCACTTTGACGGGCGCTTACAACATGGCGATCTCTGTCTCGATCTACTTAGCCACCTTGAGCCCGAGCGGAGCGAGCGGACGCGTGACACATTTGCTGGGTGTGAATGAAATACAGGAAGCGCAGCCGGCAAATGCACGTCCACATGCCGACACTGTTCTCAGTGGCCTTGGACCGGTGGCAGACGATGTGAGCTGCGACGACTCGGAGGAGGGAATGCAAAGCCCCTACCAAAGCGCACACAGCTGTCACAGCGGCAGCCAGAAGAGTCCCAGGGCTTCCTCTGATTACCCCCCGAGACCAGAGCCACCTGCAGAGTTTCGGCAACTCGAGCCGGAGGAGGAACTCCGAGCTCTGATGTCGTTCTTGTGGCAGTGGCCTCTGCCAGAAAGAGGGAAAGGACTATCACAGTCCTGTTGCCAGACGCACCAAGCCCTGGATCGCGCTCGGGACGCCTTGCGATACTTGCAGAAGCTGGACTGCCAGGACGTGCCAGCCTGCCTTGGCTGGCAGTGCCCTGCCTGCGTCCTGGACGCACGAAGCCTTTCCCGCCCATTCACCCGCCCCCCCGCTCCTGTACTGTAGATGCTGTACGTCGGTGTAGTTTCGTGACTTCGAGTGCAACCCGCCAGAGTCTTTTGTGTTCCGATCCCTTTTGCTACGCGACTGCTGCAACTGGACAACATTCCGCAGTACTGACTAGAAGATTTCTGTTGCCTTGCAAGTGCAAGGTTTTTCGCACCCACAGGCAGTCAATCAATCAATCGATCAATCAGTCCATCCATCCATCAATCAACCAAGCAGGCAATCAATGGATCAATCGATCAATCGATCAATCGACCAATCGACCAATCGATCAATCAATCAATCAATCAATCAATGAATCAATCAATCAATCAATCAATCAATCCAACAATCATGCAACATTTTTTGTTGTCCGAGCGCGGGCATTCGCTCAGCCAACGCAAACATGATGTTGGCGATCGCAGAGCAAACACCAATATTTCGGCGTCGCAAAGCACGAACAAAACTTGAAGCAACACGTCAAGCGATTCTTGGGGTGCAAAATCGGCGCTGGCGCAGCATAAAGTTTTGGTGATATTTTGCAGGCTTGCTTGGCTGTCCTGCGGCTGAAAGCCACGTTGCGCAGCTCGAACTTCCGAGGCTCTTCAAGCCGGTGATTTTCGGCACGAATTTGCAGGGCCTGTCTTGCTGCAGCTATCAGCGCATTCCGTTTTGCACGGCGCTGTTTGTCAACAAACTACTGTAGAACTGAAATCGAGCTTGCAGGGTGCTAGTGGGGAATGAATGAAGGCAGAGTCAATTCGGAGTTTCTGTTGTTGAATTGATTCCAGTCCATCTCAAGAACAGGGCGTTTTTTGCTGCAGGGCCGCAGGATGCCACGGGCCTTGCCGGGTCGTCGTCTTTTCGCTTTTGTGATCGCGACCGACGTGCCCAGGTTTGTCTTTTTTTGCACGGCAAGGGGAGAGCAAGCCACCGATCGGACAGCAAGAACGCGTCATCGGCTCGTGCAAATACCTCGGCTCGAAAAATCCAGCGGCTAAAAGCAACAAAAAGCAGTTCCGAGTGCCAACTTGTAAATTTGTCGGGTCCCAGTGCCTGCAGCTTTCAAGCCTCGCCACCTCACCAATCACCGGATTCATTAGATGCTGCTTGGGCACAAGCTCACCGCCCTTGCCAAGTCTCCTCCAAATTTCCACGCCGGAGATGCATCTTCAGACCTGCTGGACAGCTGCCTGACTTGTGAGCTTTCTGGTCCGAGGCAAGTTGAAGGGCACGGAAAGCGACCGACGACTGTTTGACGAAGAGTCCTGGTGCTGCGGCCGCTGTGCCAACTGGGAAGATTTGTATTTATAAGACGATCGTGCCTCGCCTCCGATGTTCACGGTCCCGGTGATATCTTAATTGGAATAGAGTTGAAAAGGTGGCCGTGCCCACGCCCGTCTCTGCAAAATGCAGGGCTGCTTAGCTGGATGGCTCCAGGTCTCCAGTCGCCTCACCGAAGGTGAGAGCTTGCGGGTAATCCGTGTAGTTGAGCACTCTTTTTGAGGCCCCGGAGCCATGTATTCACTCCCTTCGTGCTTCTAGGACAGAAAACCAATTTCCGGCGGTTGCTTTCGAGCATGGTTTCTTAAACTCAGATGGACGGTTGATTCCACATCCCTAGGTGCCCTTGCGGCTCAAGTTTGAGCCTTGGCACCAAGGCAAGTCAGGTCTCTCTGTCCCCCGACGCCCGAACTGAACCGGGATCGGGCCATGCTGTAAGTGTCGGCTTGAACGGCGATCTCTGAGGCCGCGGAGCTCGGGAAACCGGGGTGGGCCTTCGCTGCAGCCTTTCCCCGTGTGTCAGTTTTCAGCTTTGCAGGCCGATGGCGAACTGGTGTCCTGGATGCCTGTCGTTTTGAATCCATGTTGCATGCGACATCGATCTGGTGAGTTTGCTTGTGCCTGAAGGGTGCGTCTGCGAGGTACGGCAGCACAGAGCCTGTGGGTAAAGCGGAGCAGTCAGGCCGAGCTTCGGTCTTTTTCTGGGGACGTGCCGACCTGAAACGAATGGAGCGGAAAGGATGGTGGCGTGCCTTTGCATCCGGGTGCAGCAACTTTTCTATCCAGTGGCTTGGCTCATGTGGGCAACTTGATGCCGTCAGCTGGCAGCTCCATTAGGAGGTCATGCGCTGGAGGTCGGATCGGTTTTGCAAAACAAAACAGTTGAACTCCGGTGTGAGATCAGCTTAGGTACAATTACCAATGTGACAGCCTCAGCTACGATGTTGCAAGAAGGGAACCTCACTGGCAAGTTCTGGTGGCGGATTTCGCTGTGAGAGGTGCAAGTATTGCTTTGGCGGTGATGTCTACACACAATGACCTCTATGTGCAAGATCCACTGGGAGCAGCCCGGCGTGGGAGAAGTGCCGGCGTGGCCCGCACGGTGAATGAAAGCAGTGCATGAGGCGGACTATCCGCGACCTCCCTGGGTCTCTCGATCTCTGCTGGCCTTGGTCTTCGTGGGCTCCATGGCAGGCCGGGGCGGGGGGAGAGGGCGAGGTGGTAGCAGCCGTCCTCTGTGCAGTTCTGGCGAGGAATGATGTGCTTCGGATACCTGGGAGATCTCCTCGGCCACCGGCGAGCGCTTCAGGGCACCAAGGCGCTCCTCCGGCTGAGCCGCCTGCGTTCCGTGTTCTCATGCATAGCGGGGGGATGGCGCAGCACGGACTGCACGGACTTGGGAGGGCCTGGTGGTGCTGGGGGCCTTGCTGCAGCTTGGCTTGTGCACTGAGGCTTAGGGGCTTAGGCTCGAGACAGTTGCATTGTGAGCTAAGTTTGAATCTGGTCCCGAGGTGTTCCATGCTGCCGGAAGATTCTGGAGATGAGTTCTGGCATAGACTGGCCATTGGTCGATTCCTGGTGGGAGTGGGTCTAGGGCTTGGAGAGTGCACAGCGAACTCTGGATCGTAAGGGTTGGGGTGGAACTGACCACCAAGGCCTTGGGGGTGCCTACCCCTTGAGCGCTGCTTGTGCGGGTGCCTCTGGTACCTCATCGGAGGTGGGTCAGGTGGGCCTTGGGTCACTGGGACTACTAGGCACGAGGTGAAGAAACTGACTGCCCGGGACCGGGAGGCGTTCTTCTGGCAGACCCCCGGTGGTGTAGCCCCATACCTCGTCACGCTCCTCCTGCTGCACGTCATGCCCGGAGACACCTCCTGGCAGCTTCTCGACTGCGACCGGCTGCTCAAATGCCGTTTTGGGACTCCGCGGAGTGCCGAGGTTCCGGCTGGTGCTCGGTTTGGGGGCTCTGCCGGCCTTCCTGGCTCTTGCAGCCTCCTGGCGGGAGGCGTGTGCCCTCACGCGAGATCTGGTGAGCTTTGAGCCTGGTCAGGAGTCAGCGCCTCCAGTGCATGCAGCAGGAGACCTGCGCCAGGTCACTGCGACCACAAGCTTTTGCAAGCCACTCAAGCTATACGTCGCAAAGACAGGCGCTGCAGAGCCACCAACGAATACTTGTCGGCACGGCTGGGACCTGGTTCCTATTTGATGTCGCTGCTTACGGCCGCTGGGCGACAGAGTGATTGTCACAATGTCATCCTACGTCACACTCGGATCTGCATAGGTTCGTTGAAACAACACATCACAGGTTCCAGCTTTGGGTTGTGTGTGTGTGTGGGTGTGTGTGTCTGTGTGTCTCTGTGGGTGTGTGGCACCTTCTGCATGAGATTCCAGCAGCAGTCAGTATGATGTATCTGACGTACTTACAGCCGCCAAACACTCTGCTTCAGGCACCGTCATCTTCACCCCTCGCATCCTCAATCATGTCTTCGGTGAAAGCCAGTCGCTCACGCAGATGGCTCTCCATTCTGTCATGATGCCTCATGCTTGCACTTGCAAGGGCAATTTTGTATGCCGTATCTCGTTGTAAGAGACACGATCACTGCAGATTCACGCATCCCGAAGATTTTCTGAGGCTTTCTTTTGCCGTCCCGGCCACTTTCCTCGCGGTTGCAGTGCTGCCTCGCGTGGGCGCCCCTTGGCCAAACTTCGAGCGCTTGCAAAACTTGCCTTCCCTCCCTCGACGACATCCTCTGCTGAGGCACGGACGCTGAATGCGCTTGGGCTGGCCTTCCAAGCTGCAAGAAGGAGAGAGAGAGAGAGAGAGAGAGAGACTTGACCGGCCCTCAAGCCCAGGAGAGAGAGAGAGAGAGACATGTGTGTGAACTCTTCCCTGTCAAGTGAAGTGAAGAGAACGAATCAAAATCAGAAGAGAGGGGGGAGAGACACAAAGTGACAGCATGAGTCCTCCCACGACAACACAAGGCGTATTTTTCCGGGCTCGCCACGAACCCTCAAGATCTCAACGGCACACTTGCTTGGCTCACTTGGTTCATTGGAGCTTCAAAGCAGCCTTCGACCAAGCCTGGCAAATCGTTAGCGAAGCTCACGACGCGGAACGAAACGGGAGTGAAACGATCGGACAGGACACTTTGCCAAGCGTGAAGAGGATAGCTTGCAAATCCAGTGTGCATGGAGAACTCTTGGCTCGCTGTTGGTGGATGCTGAGGCCATCATCTCCGTCTGCTTTGCTGTTTTTGCTGCCGTGTCGGCTGTGTTTCCAGATGCGCACAAGGCTCCTGAGCGTTTGCTTGCTGTGTCAGCCTGTTGCGAGAAAATAGGTGCCGGTGCCGGTCAGGTCCTTTTCGCTGTTCTTTGTGCTCTCTACTTTGGTCCGTGACCCAGCTTCTGCTCTTAAGCAAGTACACATCGCTACGGCGTAGACGCTTGGAAGAAAGCGGCGGCCAGGCCTGAATTTTGGGCCCAGCGTCGCCACCTTCGTGCTTCCGGTCGAGCTAGCGCCTCCGGAGCCTCCCAGCCGCAGAAAGCGGAGAAGCGGTGGGCTCTTCGAAAGCCCCTGCCACTGCTGGGCTCCGCTGCGACTAAGGTTGCGAAGCACCTTCCACGGCCTCTCGGCTGCTGCTGGGAAGTGCGGAGCACTTGCCAGCACCCCGGTGCTGCCACCACACAGTCACGCAGCACCTATCCGTTGGATCCGGCGGCCGAAGCATCCGAAGCCTGGAGGTCGGAGCTCTGCTTTTCCCGCTGCTGGACGAGACCTACGGGGTCTTGGCCTGACTGCCCGGCACTGCCCGGCACTGCTAGCTGCTACTAGTAGCTTCAGCCAAATGCTCTCAGGTGCCCGCAGTGATGCTGGCGCAGGTATCTTGCAGGGTCTCAAATGCCGGTTCGTGCGACCACACGCAGCATCTTTTGCAGTGTGCTTTGAAGGCATTTGTTTGCGCTTTCGGTGCTCTTCTGAGTCATGTCTGCCTGGGTGAGAGTTTGTCGATACAGGAGGCACGGTGAAATCCTGGAGCTTGGCCGAAACGGCCTGCTTCCTTAAGCTTGCAAGCGTACTCCATGTTGCGCGGAGTGCAGAACAGCGGCGGGCTGATTGCAAGCTTCAACAAGCCACAGCGGAAATGTGCATGAACCTTTTGAAAAGGCAGCACTTTCCCGAAGTCACAGGCGCCGTGTTGGATTCCAGAACGAGCTTGGAATCGAAAATGTCGAGAGTACGGCAAGGGATGCCACATCGGGCATCTCCCTGCAGCATCATTCCGGGGTTGTGCTGTGACCAGTTGTGTTTCGCATGTTTCTGGCTCAAAGATGTTGTGCAGGGGATAGGATCTGGAAGGAGTGTAGGCCGCTGCAGAACTCTTGGAGGCGGCAGCAGACTACAGTGATGAATGTAGGTTTGTAGGTCTGTAGATGGTGTGGTCAGATGGTGAAAGCCACAAGCAGAGCCTTATCGAGTCGCCTCAGGTACACGAGGAATTCAAACTGGCACACTTGGTCGTCTTCCGCCTGGCCATACTCGATGGCAGCGCAGGCTCATCCGGGCGATCTGCTTTTTGGGGTTGAGCGACGTTGCGTGTAAACCCGCGCAGAAACTCAAGAGACAGAAGTACAGGTGTGTCTGTCCCGACATGCACGTTTCAAGACCCCGTGCTCAGGCCTCTCGCGTGAAAGCCCCGACACTCCACCCAAATGCCAAAATGCCGAACTGCACAACCTCTGGTGCAGCAGGCGTCGGCGCCTAGCACGTCGGCGACCAGTGCAGTCAAGGCGGTCCGACTCGCCCCCGGCAACTTCACCTTGAAATGGCACTGTGACCAATGAGGTGATATCAAAGACATGGGCCAGAGACTCTCACGACCTCTTCGACTTTGAGGCGCATCAGCTGTGGACGCCTGAGACTGGAATGTCGGCATTGCCAGTGTTGCACGTGACACGTGAAAGAGTTTGATTTCAGCCCGCCTCTGGCGGGACATCCGAGGCATACGCAGACGTTTTCGGTGCCGAAGTCCACGGTGTGCATGCGCAATGGCACAGAGGCACAGGAATCGAAAAGCTTGAAGGTACACAAAGAACAAGCGGAAGCCCGAGATTTCGAGATTCGAGTTGCGTGCAGGTGCAGATGGTCGGAGAGCGGGATGCGCCGCCGGCAGGAGGAGATCCTCTCCTGCGCCTCGTGCAGAGAGATGGGACCTTCTGGGCTCGCGCCTCAAGTCGTGTCATCCCAAGCTGAATCCTTAGAAACGTCTGTGCTACATGGGATTTCCACCTCCGGCCCTTTGTTTGTCAAAAGCCCCAGGACCTAGGAGGGGTAGTCAAAGTTCCAGTTTGTGCTCCACGAGCTTGCATCCAGTCGCATGCCAAATGGCGTGTTGAACCATGTCGACCCGGTGACTCTTGGTGTTTCGTCACCATGGAGATCCGTGCACACAAGGGACTTTTGCCAAGCTTGGCATGAGGACCTCCATGCACGGAGGCCGCGGGGCCCTCGATTATCCTCATTTCTGGGACATTCGGAGACGAGCTTCGATGCGCTGACGATCGATGCCGCCGTGCTTCCCTCAGAGAAGATGCTAGACATTCGAAAAGCCTGCAAGATGAATATTGCCGATCCACTTGATCCCGTGGGTCCAGCCAAAATCTTTCGAGACAACCTCGAGACAGGAGCGCAGTGTGCCGAGAAAATTGGTAGCAACCTTTTCACGGGCTCCCTCGGAGAGAGCTCAGGCACCAAGTTTAAAGGCGAATTGCCTGTGGAGTTGGGGGGGCAGGTGCGAGAAGACGTGGAAGCCATCCAGGACACCTGTCACGACTTCGCATCCCTTCTTCTTCATCGGCTATCGCGCAAGGAAAACAAGTCCCTAAACAAGGTGGATGCTGTCCGCGTGTTGAAATCCTTTGGCAGATGCCTGGAAGCCATGGGGCAGGGAACCACACTGCTTGGTTGCCAGACGGGCGGTGCTGAGGGAGAGGATGAAGCAACGTGTGAAAAGGAGGCGGGAGTAGAGCCAGGCCAATCCTCCTGGTTCTAGTGAGTGCGCTCGCCTTCGAGGTTGGTTATTTCACCCATAAGGGCATGCTTCGCTAGCGCAGTGTCAGTGCCCACCCGTGTTGTATAGTCTTGGACTTCGAGCAACATTGGCCAACGTGTCGCCTGCCTCGCGGACGAAAGGGGGTGCAGAACCATGCTGCTAGCTTCGCAGATGGCGCGACTGCGCTGCAGCGGTCATTGTCTCATTGTCCTTGCAACACTGACCTGAGGTTGACAAGGTCCAGCCGCAGGGTGCCCCAGCAGAGGTACGAGTTCGGGACAGCACAGGTGGCTGCAAATCCAGCATCGCTCCTGCCAAATTCCACTTGGTTTGGGATGCTTCGATTGGCTCGATTTGTGATGATTTGAGGAAGCTTCACTTCCGCTGCGGCTTCTGATGTTGGTTTTATGAGCAAGTGCTTCAGAGGAGAGGAAGGCTGGAATGTAAGGTGCAAGATTTCACAAGCAACTCATATGACTCATATGGTACGTGTATGCACACCAAATTTCACAAAACGTCCTCACGAGACCGATCACCGGCTCTATGTATGCCCAGGTCCAGCAACTCCAAGAAGCTGTGGCTTGTAGTGCTACCAAACTGCATTGGAAGTGAAGAGTTATGATTTTCACAGCGGCGAGTTTCCATGGTGCTCAATGCTATCCGTTTCCGAGGAGAGATCTGGTATCCAGCAGCCATCGGCTGCAGGAGGGTGATGCCAGGACCTTTGAGTGCCTCAGACATGCGGACCGGTCCGACTTGGCATCAGTTGGATTAGTTGCGTAGCCAGTGTGTGCAACTTGCAATATTTGATAATCTCCTTTAACATCCAGGCACCCAGATCAAAAACACAGCCATGCGATGGCAATACGGTGCTCAATTGCCTGAGGTCATCAAGCTGGGACGCTTCAAATTCCGCGTTCGTCAGCTGGTGGCATCCACCTACGGTGGCATGCAGCCAGAACTTAGGCATGGACCTCAGGTTTTGCTCAAACCCAGGAAGGACACAAAGGTTCATCAGGCGACTATCCAATCTTGTTGTGAACGCTGTGACGAGAAACGCGTGCGAAGAAGTCCTCGCAACCTGCGAATGGGAGCCCAGCTTCTCACAGGCTCAAGACGATATCGATTACCTCGACAGTTGCACAAACTGACACATAGACTGATAGACATTCGAAATCCCAGATGAATACCGCCAAACTGACACCAGACAAACCTGCTTCGCTCTTGCAGCAACGCATTGCCATGTTACGTGGCCGCGCACCAGTGCTGGCTGCGCTGGCCGCCGTCTGGTCGCTTGGTGCAGACTTGCGCCGCTCATGTTGTCTATCCAAGTCTATTGGTCGTTGACTTCCGCGAGCTTTCAAGGACAAGCTCTTCGAGTCGATGTGCAGAATCCTCAGGAAGAGCTTTTCGTGGAGTCGAGTGCTCCACGTGAGTCTCCAGCAGAGAGACGGGGAGAGAGGGAGAGATGCTTGACTGGACCTGTTGGCTCTAGAGAAAGAAGAGAGAGGGAGCTCCATCTCCTTGGCCGAGTGCAAGCAAGAGAGGCGCCGGGATGGGAAAACTCCCCGACCCTTACCCTTGCGAAAGAAAGAGAAGACATGAGTTGCTAAATGGAGTGGCGCTGCAATGTAGGTCATCTGGAATTTGGAGCATCGCTACTGCAAATGCTGTTGGGGATGGTCCCATGTCAGTGCCTGACGCGATTTTAGCCTGCCTGCTGCCCCATAACGTATGGTGGGCGCTGGAGCGCCGAAGGAGGGGTGGAGGTCGCTCCTCCACCTCTTACCCTTGCGCAAGAGAGAGCGAGAGAGAGAGAGAGAGAGAGAGTGAGAGAGAGAGAGAGTAGCCTTAAAATGCCCATCAGGGGGACTCACTGTTTTGTCACGCCTCTCAAAATCCCCATAACATATGGGGGGCCCATGCGGCCGAGGGGCTTAACACGCCCTTCAAGCCCAGAGGAAGAAGAGAGAGTAGCCATTTTGGCTCAAGCCGTGAGCGGTTCAAGGCCTGAGCCCAGGGGGAAGACAGCCAGTGAAGGCCTCAACTCCAGAGGGAGAGGAGAGGGAGCGTGCACTGCCTCCTCTTGATTCGCCCGTGCGTCAAGCACTACCAGATGGGCGACTTCACCTACCGCGCCAGGGACCGCGAGATAAGACAGGGATGCCTCAATGCAGTGCCACAGCAGCTAACCCAGGCAGCAGCCCAAGCACTGGGCAACGTGCCGCCGCCAAGTCAGGGGCACCTGGACGGAACCATCCAATACAGTGTCCCACCGGCAGTGAACCAGTGGGGATACACCCTCACGTACATCCCGCCCCTCAGATCGGCAGATGTGCCAGCGGCAGCAGCGGCCACAGCCACGGCTACACAAGCCGACACCACACCCATGACAACCCTGCCACAGGGACCATCCGAGATCTCGCAAGCTGCAGCCAGCCACCACAATTTCGGAAGAAGCACGACCCTCACCACGACCAGCAACTGAGCAGCCACACACACAGCCACCGGCCACTGGCAGCACGCCAGCCACCACACAACCACAGCGATCCGGAAGCCACAGGTCCCCCACGAGGGAAGGGCACGCGCAGCCCAGCTGCTGCAACGAGCCGACGGCGCCACACCAGAACACTGCCCGCAACGCACAGGCAGACTCCACGACACAACCACAGCAGCAGCCGCTGAGAAGCAGACCACCCACAGACACAACTCAGACGGGAGCCGGTCAACCCACGGGCAGCCCACCAGTCACCGGCGACAAGCCAACCACCATACCGCTGCGACAGGCAGACCACACAGCAACACCAACGCAACCCGCTGCCCAGCCGAGCAGTGGCGAGCAAACCGAGCCAATCCACCGCAACAGATGGGGAAGAGCCCTCCAGAGACAGCAGCTCCAGCAGGATGCACGGCAGCCGCAAGACCGAGGGAAGACACAGCCTGCCAACACCACAGGCAGAGGCCACGACACAGCGCAGCCAACCACACAGCAGCCGGCAGCGGGGAAAACCCCAGAGGAGGAACAGAAAGCACAAGCACGCACTCACCAGTCACAAGCCCACCCCACCCCACCGGCGGAGCCGTCGACGCAACAGCGGCCACCACCCGCGACACAGCCGCAGCCACAACCACCACAACCACAGCCGCAGCCGGCAGGGGGGCACACAGGCAGTAGCTCAGCAGCAGACCCATATGCAGAACTAGAGGACACAGGCGGGGGAAGCAAAGGGGGACCGCTGCCGCAAAAGCCCTACCACGAAGGCCACGGAGATCAACGAATGCGCGGCAAGCGCTTTAAGTCCGCTGTGCAAATGGCCTACTCCCACTTTGGGTCAAACGAGAGGACCAGACCTGGCGGGAATTGGGCCACCACGTGGGCCTCTACGAAGCCGACGACGAGGAGGAATGGGCCAGGGTCCTAGCAGCTGGGCCAGGACGTACACCCAAAAGGGGGACAGCGACAGCAGCAGCCCCACCAACGCACACCGACACCACCAATTGGGCTGAACTGCTCAACAGAGGCAACCTCCCATGGGGAAGCATCCCCTCACACACGACAGCCACGGTGAGCACGAACAGTCAGACAGCACCAGCACAGCCAACCAGAGCCGCGCCGCAGCCAAAGCCCCGCACAACAGCAGCGGCGGCACCACCGCAGGAACCACGGCGCAGAAGACAGGGCGCAAGCAGCAGCACAGCAGCAGCGGCGTATGACGGCAAAAAGCGCTGGGAGGGGGTCATGAATGTCATGCTCCTGGCCTTTGGAGGGGGACGCAACCCACTGACGTTCGCGCCTGAGTTACCAGTCGCCGGCAACGCCCACCTCCATCTCCGCTCACTGCCCTTTGGAGTGTGGGCAGGCATTGTCCTCACCCGGGGATCGGCAGCGGCACCGGACTATGACAACCAGCTGGGAAGAGGATTCGTTAGAGCGAGACCAGGCACGGGAGAGCCCAGCGGCCACATAGCAACCAGCACAGCGTTCGCACTTCTACCAGGGGGAAATCCGAGGGGGACGCCCCGAACGCTGGCTCTTCCAAGTCACGGCGGTGGGACAACAACCCGACCCGACAGCTACAACACTCAAGCCGGGCACAGGATATGTGCTGGAGTGGAACAGCGACAGCAAGCACTGGCAGTTGGGGACCTTGGTCCCTAAAGCAGCAGTCCAATACTACTACGACTGAGCGTACATGAGGAATGCAGGCATAGTTCGGGACCCACCACCGCGCAGCAGCACCTTCCCACCCAGCCAGTGGGAGATGATGGCCATACGCCTCCTGCCGCCACAAGCACAGCAGTCCCAACCACCACACCCAGGGGGAGCACAGCCGGCGCCCACAACACCCAGCACACAAGGAGGCCCACAACACTCAAGGGGGAGCAGCCAGCCCGCGCCGAGCCCGCCACCAGAGAGACCTCAGAGGAGCGAACCAGACGAAGACGACGAAACAGCGTACATGCAGCACTCGGGGCAAGCAGCAAGTAGCCAGAGTAGTGGAAGCCATGGCGTCGGGACATGTGCAGGCCGCAAAAGAGGGAGCCTGACCAAGGAAGCTGCCATGGTCAGGTTCTGGCTGCGCCAGCTCCTCTACCTTCTGGACTCCGTGCCCTGGGGGACAACAGTCCGGGACCGAGTTGAAGATGCAATGGAAGCCCTGGACTCTGACCGAGAAGCACGAGGGGAAGAGCAACCGGACGTGGGGTGCTTTCCGCGGCAGCCCAAGCGTGCCAAGTACCTCAACTACGCGAGCATGGCAAAGGCGCGCATTGAGGATGTGGCCGCCGACGAGGGGGACAACGGCTACAACCAGCACCAGATCCGCGCGGACCTGGAAGCGATCAACGGGGACCTCGAGCGCACCATCTTCATGCTCGAAGCCACCACGGAGCAGCAAGGAGGGGCGCAGGTTAGCACAAGCTTCGAGGGCCTACAGCAGGTGCAGGGGGCAGTGGACATGGCCCTTGGACAAACAATACATGGCGACTTCGACTGGATGTCACAAAGCTGGGGGCAAACCTTGCACCGACTACTCCAAGAAGCCGAAGAACTGCACGATGAACTCGAAAGCCTCAACTTCGTGCACCCAGCCGACGTGACAGCGTTAGAGGCGGGGGCAGTGGAAGTTCCGACCAAGCGAGTGGGCAGTGCCATGGAACAAATGCGCCAAGTCCTACGTGATGTTCGGGGGCTCGTACCGTTCCTCACTACGGGGGGGCCCAAGTGCGAGCGGCAGTGGCCACAGTGGTGGCAAACCTGGAAATGCCCGTCGCTGTGGACATGCAGACCACAGAAGAGGGGGACGCGGACAAAGCCGAGCCGCTCTTCGACATGAAACCGACGGGGGCAGCCACGCTTCTGGACACCGGTGATGCCATGGGGGAAGACACAGCCTTCTCTCAACAAGCGACGTTGCCATGGATACCGCCGCTCAACGCGGCACAGTGGAGTGGCAGCATCCCTAGTGACACGGACCAGCCGCCAGAACAGCCAAGTCCGCCTTCTGAGGGGGGACCAACAGATGAAGACCTGTTGGCAGCCATGGAAGAAATGGAGCGGCGGGAGGAAGAGGCCTTCCAACAGCAGATGGCAGCGGCAGCCGCGGCAGAAACCCATGAAGGGGTACTTCAAGGGGGACAACCAGAACCACAAGAACTACTGAGACAGAGCAGCCACCGACGTAGAAGAATGCATGCCGCAGTCTATGATGAACAGGGGGGATTCTGGCACCCAGACATGTGAACAGAACTTGTTTCGAGCCTATAGTCCTGCTTTCGTAAGGGGTGCCGAAGCCTGCTGCAGCAAACCTTTTAGAGTGAATACGTGGGGGCAAACAGTGCAGTGTGGTAGCATGTAGTCGTGCCGGGACTTCAGCTTTGAAGTGTGTTGGTTTGCATACGAATACTGTTGCTGTGCCACGAGATAGCAGTGCTGGGGAACGGCCCAGCCATATGGACTTGCGCAGCAGCACAGTGTAGCCGCGCTTTTGAGTCCAGCCGGAACTAAAACAGTTCCCAAGACGAGGCACGAGGCCGGGGGTTTGACTAAAGTACAGGGCTTGTAAAGGGGGGTTGCAACGGATCCGGCCAGTGCATCGTACCAACAGTGGGGGGGAACGAACCACCCACAATTTCCAGTGCGCACGTGCGCGAAGTAGGTTAGCTGGACTGACCTGCTTCTGGCTGCGTGCAAGCAAGAGAGAGAGAGCGAGAGAGAGCAGAAAGAGGGGAACTAGGGGGAACTTGCGTCCACGTTTCCACCTTGAGCGCAGCAGAGGGAGGAGGAGCGTATGACCCAGCTGTTTGCGGACCTTCGCCGATCCCTGTTGTGTGAACTGGCCTCTCACACGCCCGATGACGGGGCCTGTGGTTGCGCGGATGCAGGTTGGGTTCCCACCTAGTGGAGGGCTTGTAGATACCAGACGACAGAACCTTCGCGCACGGAGGGGAGGAGCGACCCGCCCTTCTTGTTTGTTCAGAGGAAGAGCTTATTTTCAGCACATCTAGGCATGAGAAGACAGCTGCTGAAGGGATTAACGCAGCTGGGTCAGTGTCTTCACAAGACAGGTCTCGACTTGGGCCACACCTCACACCGTCTTTGGGTCGCGGCTTCGGGGACCAAAGCAGGCTGGGGATTTTGTGCTCTGGGAGGATAAGGCCATCATCCCAAATCGGAGACTCCATCCTCCGACCTGCCAGCTCCCCGTCGGCTTGCGCTACTGGCCCAACTTCATCACGGAGGCAGAGGAGGCGCAGTTGATCCAGGCTGTGGATGGTCCAGGCTCGCAGTCCGAGACCTTCAACAGCCACGTCTTTGGCACAGACTTGCGCACCTCCACCCTAGTTTCAGGCAGCCAAAGAAAGCCCTTGTCTTGAAACGGCCCCCAAGACAAACTCGCGAAAGAGCTCCCAGACTGCTTGACGCTCACATGGGGTCGGATGAGTGGATGGGCTGTGTTTGCTTTTCAGCACCCCACTTCCGAACAACTGCCTCGTATGCCCAAGACCTCCTTATACCCACTCGGCTTGTTTGAGGAGGGACTCTGTATTCGCATGCTTTCCTGTCTGTGGTGGGTGTGATTTGTGCTCTGCGTTCGGAGTTCGCGTTTCGAAAGCTTCGCTGCTCTCGAACTGCAAAACCCCTCCCTCTCACGCTGCTCAATCTGACCCGAGACGTCCTGCCGCTCTACGGTTCGCATCCAAGTGACGGCCATATGATGGAATAGTTTCCGGGACGCCATTGCAGGATAAGCAAACAGCCATCAAAGCAATTCAATTCGTTGAACATCGTGAGTGGGACAGTGAGCGCTGAACATGGTCATTGATTGTAGGCTTGAGTGAAGTTTCAAGTAAGGGACTGAGGCAGGGAGGCATGGGGTCAGCTTGTTGCAGATCACCCTCGATCTTCAAGCTGTCTGGCAGGGGCGGCCTGGTTGCGGAAGATCCGCCGTGCGCAGCAATTCTTTGGACTGTGCGGAGCTGAGCACAGGGACGAGCGAGTGAGGATTGCAAGCATTCCGGAAGCTCAGGGTTTACTACCAGACCTCCCAATCCGTGCCGGAGTTGCAGCCGACGGCCGAAAGCTCTGCCAAGCAGCAACGCGGTCGAGACCTCGAGGAGCTGCCAAAGAGGAAGAGGTTTTGGGGATGTCGCTCCTCCTTCCAGGAGCTGCCTGGCTGGCTGATACCTCGTCTCAGGCAATGCGGCTTCTCTTGGAGTTCCTGCGGTTCTCGCTGGTTTGGAGGTCGTCCGGACTGTTTTCCGAGCCTGGGAGAGGCAGCGGTCATGTCTTGAAGGAACCAGGTTTGTCGTTACTAGTAGCTCCCGGCAGGCATCAACCAAGTACAGGCAAACGAGTACTTGGAGGATAGCGGCATCGGGGCCCATGTTGAGGAGCTGGTGGCCCAACTTCAAAAGCTGCCGAAAGGGGCTGGTATGAGAAGAGTTTCAGGATCCGGCTGCCGGAGAAACAGTGGTGACACTGTCCCTCTTGCGACCAGTGCGCCCCAACGGTTGGCATGGGTAGCTATGGACCTCATAGAGGCTTCTTGCAGAGAGAACCGGGCCGCACGTCTCGATCAGCCCTCGACAGGATACTGCAAGGTAAGCCATGTTCAAATGTCCTACACTACCTTTTCAGGTCTCTTCTGAACGTTCAAGTTAGCCAGAGCCAGGTACAGCTTACTCTCCAGAGGGCAGAGGACGGTCGTCCCGTCCATCGCGACAAACGAGATCCGGAGGACTCCTCGAAAGGGGATTCGGATTCCCCGCCGTTTGAGACATACCCCAAGATGACGTTGCATGTCTGCAGCCTAGCAAACTTCCCCTGATGGCACCAGCATGAACATTTTTGCAACCTTCGGCAACGCAGACATTTGCTTTTGTTTTTCTTCAGATTCTGCAGTCCCTCTTTCGTCCTGTCCGGATCTGTTTAGGCTGGAAGCTGAGCTCTTGGACCTAGAAGGTGTTCTCAACTCAACTCGAAGAAAAAGAACGTAAGACTTGCGACGCGTCCCGTGTTCATTCTCGAGGACTGCATCAAGGTGCTCCTCGAGCCGAGGAGTCTTTTCCTGCTCGAAGGGGAGAGCCGCCATGATTTTACCCACGCCATCCGCCAGTCGATGCTCGGATGCACTCGCTGAGAGGATGGAAGCCTCAAAGATCCTCAAAGCTAGGGACCACAGGAGCAGATGTTGTCCTGAGGAGACGAGTGCCCCTACGCGACGGCAGCGTTGTGATCCGAGACGGGAGCTTCCGAAGGGTCTCTTTGACTTTTCGAGGCTTCCGAAGCGCCCCGAAGCTAAGTGGTCAGCGAGACTCAGTGATGGTGTCCAGGGCCCAGGGGCTTTTAGGGGAGGCAGCCTTGGCGCAGGTATTGTCGAAGACAAGCGGAGCTCAACTCGATCCGACATGCCGACCGGCTATGAGACCTACGTCGTGCCGAAGGAAACCCTGCAGAGCCAAAGCGCAAGATGAAAATGTGGTGTACGGCGTATGGTATGATATTTTGCGTTTGTCACGGATGCAGACACGCGATGACTTCGCATCACCCGAAGACTGATCAGCCTCAATACCCACCGCAGGTGCTCGCGTGCTGCAGGTTGGATTCATCGCCGCGGCCATTTTGCAGCTTTCTCTCTCTCACCTGTACCCTACGAACCGCATGATGATTCGACACATCAGGATGCCGCATGTAAACCGCCATCAATACCGGACCCATACTAAACTAGATATGGATCGGAGCCTACGAAGGGGATAGTGCGGCGTGTCGAATCGTCTGGCGCGTTCAATCTCCAGGACTCTTCCTGCATCGCAGAGCCGCAAAGAGCCATGTCGTTCTTGGAGCCTCGCCTTGCACCCTTACCCTCAATCTGGATCTCCAGCGATGACGACCTATCGGAGAGGCGGCGTAGGAGACGATGCACGAGCAAATCGGAGATGCGTGGCTCGACAGGAAGGCAGCCCTGCGACGCTGCGCTTCATTCCCAGGCCCTTGGAAATAGACTTGGCGCATGCATTGCACAACTCAGTTCGTCGCCCGTCTTGCGCACTTTGTGGAGGCTACATCCCGTTTGCCCTGCAGTCGCACAAAGACCAGGTGATCTGCAGTCATAGCAGATCAGTTCGGAGTTGTCAGCATGTTTATTGCATGGCATTTGCCCAGTGTCTCAGGCTGGGCTGACCGTGACCTCGCGTCGGGAGGGAGAGGAATTGGGCGACTGCTCCATTGACGATAACTTGACGCAGGCCTGCCACATGCCAAGTTGTAAGGCTATGAATGCCGCTGCCGCTCGGATCCCTCACGGGGCTTAACCTCAGCGAGTAACTATCAGACAGTTCCCTCATGCTGAAGGATCCGTTGGAAGACTCGGAATGGCAAACGATGCCACCTCCAATCGATGCCTGGGCTCTAAACTTTGTTTTCGACAGCTCGCTTTTTGGGACTCTGGGTTGTCGGCATTACCTCAGACCCACCTGTCTCGATTACATACTTGAAGTCCTGAGGAACGCCCATTGATGTGAGTACCGCCGGTAGCCACAAGTTTTGCTTACCTAGTTGCAATATAGTCCAGTGGCCTGTTGCGCACTGTCAGCACTCTCAGTCTCCTCAGGGTCTCATCTGTTGCCGGTTCGCAACGCCAACGCCCAACATTCCGCAACCCTTACGACCCCTCTCATGCACTGAGGATGCGTCGGAGGACTCGGAGGCGCAACACGCCCTTGAGCATAACTCGTCTGAGGTTGTCGAGTTTGTGCCTTCTTAGCTAACTACCTGTAGATCTCGAGAGTGCTTTGGCACCGCGCAGGATGTGAACGTGTGGCCTGACACGGATACGGAGGATGATTTCGAAGAACGACGAAATCTGCAAGCACCGCTTTCAGAGGCGAAGGCGAGTTTGCAGATAAGAGAGTTAAAACTGCGACATGTTTCGGGTGCGCATTGGTGCTTGCTGGCAAAAGAGCAGTGTTGGGAGGATTCTGCACAGCCAGTGCATGGATGGACAGACAAAGGCAATCCGGGTTCTTTGCAGGCCGGGCAACCGGTGAGCCGGGCCAAGTTGAGAGTTATGCAAGTGCTCTTGCGGTGTGCTCCGAGTGCCAAGTTTTAGGGCTTTGCCAGGCATCCCTGACACTCTTTACCGGATGGAGCGAACCAGTGTGGTGCAAGGACTGGCTTTGATGCATGACACTGTGTATGCTGGTATGAGAGTCAGTCGTGCTCGCAGCTGAAAGCCGAAAGTCCAGTCTGTAGTCTGCTCAGTCTCGTTCTTGTACGTAGCAGGCCAACGCGAGCAAGAATGTGGAAGTGCTGGCCCAATCGGGGTGCAAAGGGGTGATGATCTGATAGAACTCAGGGGATGATGGGGTGGATGCGTGACGGGCCAAGGCTCCAGCTCGTGGCCCTGTGCGAGCTGCAGGGAGCCACGGTGTCCTGAGCTCGGAGAAGCTTTCTCTGCACACAGACTCAGAGCTCGTGAACTGTACCAAGTCCTTCACCTCCGAGCGACCTGCACGAGTCCAGGCCTGGTTGGGTCTCTAGCTGTGAGCCGCTCGGAGACCCTTGGCTGTGTCAGGTCAACCTCGAGACTGAATTGTCGCTGAGCCCCTCCTGTGACTCCAATCCGACGCTTGGCCTCGGGCAGAGCAGAGAATGTGCGGTATCTGTGGGCAAGCGGTGGCGAGTCGACGAGCGCGCTTTATGAGGGCAGTAGCCGTAGCCAAGCCGAATCAGTCATTTGGAAAGGCTGCAGGTGCCACAAACGGGAGAAGCAATACTGCTGCACGCCATCCTCCTGTATTAAAGGGCTTCACTGAGGTTCCGAATGGGGCCTTGTGCTTTAGTATTCGATTATGAGGGTGTTAAGTTACAAGTGTGAGCAACCGCGTATAAGGTGCAAACAACTGCAAAAGCCCGTCAACATGATGGCAGGGAAGGCGCCCGCGGGCTTTAAGGTTTAGCTGAAGGTTTATCCGAAAACTGTAAATGCAAGGCCTGTATGGAGGACCGTGGTTTCGTCTTGTTCGATTGGGTGCGTAGGGTTCAGGCGGATGAGCGGACCTTTCAAGATGTCTGAGACGGAGCATGCACGGCTTCCGCTGCATTCCAGCTATTGCTGTTAGTCTTGCTCGTGCCACTCTCGTACCAGTTGTACCAGTTGCTCCCCATTCAGTTCGTCACATGAACGGACGCGAATCTCCTAGAAGTGCTTTTGTAATGCCAGCTTGTCTGTTGGTTCAGGGGCCATGCCGCGCAGCGCGCCCAAAGGTGCCGGGCAAGCCTCACAGCTGCAGATTGGAATCCGCAGTCTGCGAATCCGGACACCGGGGAGCTCTGGTCTCACTTAGAGGTGTGGTGGACCTACCCTGATGGAGTCTTTCCGTGGCATCTGGGCGGCATTGGTCCGATTTCATGCCTTCGCTGGGATGACGCAAGAGATGGATACGCCCGAGCATTCACTTGGATTGACTGCTGGACCCATAATGCGTGAGTAATCCCGTCCGCGTGCCTCTTGCGCTGCATTCTGAAACGAAACCCAGACATTCCGTGTGTCGAGGTGGTGAAGGGACAGAGGACGGTGCTGGGAATCGGCAGGTGCTCCAGGTCGGGGTGATGCTGTACGGCGGTCTCCACCAGAAGCTGCAACTCACCAAAAGTCCGAGCTCTGGCGCTGTGCAGGCCGTAAAGGCTGGGAATGCAGCTCTTCAGAAAGCTCGTGTGTCCTGGCAGCGATTGGAACTTGTAATGTTACGGCCTGAATATTAATAAGGCCTCCCCCCCACGACCAAACGTTTTGGCTTGAAGTCTGGTGTCAGTGACCCTTCGGACCGGGGTCAGGGTCTGGGTGGCTTTGATTGATGAAGTAAGTTAGAAGGGAGCTGCGGAGGTCCCGGGGTTTGGGGACTGGCTTGGGTGCAGGGTCTGCGGGTCTGCGTGAATGCGCGGTCGGGGTCTGGGGATCACCAGAAGCTCGAAACCAAGCCCCGATCACTCCAAGATAACTACCAAGACTAAAAGCCCTTCATTTTGAAGACTTTTGCCTCCAACCTACACGTCCCTCCACAGTCTGAGGCTTGGTACTGTGCAGTAGGAGTACCGTAGTAGTATAGTAGTAGTACAGTAATAGTGCAGTAGTCGTGCAGTAGCACAGTAGTAGTACAGTAGTAGTACGGTAGTAGTACAGTAGTAGTACAATAGTAGGACAGTAGTACAATGGTAGTACAGTAGTAGTACAGTAGTAATACAGTAGCAGTACAATAGTAGTACATCAGTAGTACAGTACGAGGGTTTAGGAGTACCTGGAGCTGTTTAGCGGGGTTTGGGGATCACCAAAAGGTGGGAACCAAAACCCCGATCACTCCAAGATAACTACCAAGACTAAAAACCCTTCATTTTGAAGACTTTTGCCTCCGCCCTACACCCCCCTCCACACTCGACCACGTCTGAGGCTTGGTACTGTGCGGTAGTAGTACGGTAGTAGTACAATGTAGTACAGTAATAGTGCAGTAATGGTACAGTAGTAGTGCAGTAGTACAGGGGGTTTAGGTCATGGGTGCCTCAAGCTTGACCATCAGCAACAGGACAGTCACCCCCCAAAAAATTCCACCAGCAAAGAAAAGAGGCATTGCTTGGCACGCCGTTTTGTTGGTACCGGCTTGAACATGGACAATAAATGCATCAATTAGGCCCGTGTTCCTAAACGGGCCGTTACATTATCCCCAGTGGGGCTGTGAATGCCACGTGTGAGAGCAGAAGGCCACGGACGAACCACGTTGCAAATGTTCTCATGTCAGGCTATGATGCCTGCTGTGAATGCGAAGCCGCAGTTCCATCGCTATCCAGGTCGCGCCCTTTGCCGAGAGAACAACGAACCACTGCTTCGCGCTGTGCCTGGCCGAGGCGATTCGCGATCTGCGAAGATGTTGACAGGATGATGGGCCAAGAAGCTCTGTACTGTTGCGGATGCACGTGGAAGTAAAATCAAGCTTCAGGCATCTATTAACAGCCTTGCAATGTGAATCGTTCTATCCTTGTCCTAAGAAGAACATCTAGGTTCAGTACATGAGATCTTCGCCAGGGGACCATGTGTTTTCGCCACGCTCAATGGGCTTTTTATTCGGGTGGGCTGGGAGAATACGTGCAGCATTTTGTATGCCAAGGGAATGAGCGCCAGAGTCAGTCTGTTGCAACCAAGAGCTTCTTCTTCTCAGCAAGAGCGATAGCATCATTCTTTCCGCGCTGTAGCATGCCTACGTTGATGGGAACATGAAGGCGGTAGGGGTCTCCTTTGCTCGTAATGAATCTAAGCATTTAAAGTTGCCTCAGTCAGAGCGAAACTCGACGTGAATCTATGTTCGTGGCTTTGTGCAACTTGCTGAGCGCTTTACACACGTGCGTCCAGCCAGAATTCACTGCAACGGGCGAGCCATTTGTGAAGGGTGGCTGCCGTGTGCGCTTCGTGGTGCAGCCGCGACATGCCTTTGCGCATGTTGCATGTCTCTGACTTTTTCGATGTTCAAAGATGTGCGCAATAGCGACAAAGCATTGCCTGCCGCGTCCGGGCGGCACTTACACTAACGCCTGCGAGACCATGTTGCCAGCGCCGACTGTCCTTCACCGCTGCTTGCAGTTATTTTCGAAGTTTGTACTGTTAAACGTGTCTCATGCATGGAATGTGCCACAAGGTGATCTGATTTACAGGTTGCCGCGTTGGCAAAGTGATCTCCGGGCGGATACAAGCCTGGCTTGGTGCGGCAGCGTTGCCCGTTCAGTCCCGTCGAAAGCGGTAGCTTCCCGAGAGAAGGGCTGCACATGAGCATTTCGGGTTCTAAAGACCGAACTCTGTGAGTGATGTGACTGTTCGCAAACTGTAACTGGAATGTGCAGCCTTTTGGATGGAAAGCACGCATCGGGGATCAACACCTGGTTACCTGGAAAAGTTTCTTCGACTCCGCCAACTTGATGTGAGAAGTATGACAAGTCATACACCGTCAGCATGATAGGGACTACAACCGAGCATTGTTTGCTGCAGCCCAGCTGCACAATGCTTGCTCCGAAGGATCAGGCTGTGTGCTTTGCCATGTATCCACACAGCTTGATGCTCCCAGATTGATCCCCGCCCGACGAAACACATGACCGTGCATTGTACAATGCCACGCAGGATGGCCACTCCACCTGATGAATTTCCTCAAAGCAGCTAGAACTCGGTACGAACATGTTGGGCCTCGTAGTTGTTTTTTGTGCAAGTGGTACTACTCGGGCTGGGTACATCACCAGTCCGATAGAATTCAGTCGAGCCTTCGCAGACCGATCAGATGATTTCCTTCACGGCTGCTTCTGCTACCCACTTTCGCCAAAGTCGTGGTCCCATTGATGTTCGCGGGCATGCTGGAAGGAAACACGTGGGTGATGCGCAGACTCAAGCTTGCTCGAGGTAGACCCCCAGTTTCGGTACCCAGCCTGATGTCGTTCCGAAGAAGTGCCACCACATCAACATGTGCTGTGTCGCTCTGTAGCCCAACTGGGGGTCCGTAATGGATACAGTCTCCAAGACGGATGAATGCGATGGCCAATACGGCCACTGCCTCGTCAGCTTGTACTTTGATGCAGGGCCGGACCTGGTCGCACAGGAACGGCTTTGCTGCTTTGCTTGCATGCGATGCAAATGTTTCCTCTGGAGTATGGCTCCGCCCGATGTGCCTCGCCGATCTTGATCATTCAGCCGACCGTTCCAGAGGGCCCTAAGATCAAGAGGCGTGTCAGGCGAATCACCGAAGCTCCAAATCCCAAAAGAGCTGGTGCTAGCAAACGTTCTTTGTCCCATCGGGGACGAAGCGCTTCACCACGAAGCACTGGCGAGTTGGAGGAGGGTCTTGCTTGTCGCTTTCGAGCATGGCACTCTAGTGGACCCTTAGGCCTTAGCATCTTTGGCAGGAGCCCCATGCCAACTTGCCCTTACAACTCTACCCCGCGCAGGGTTCGAGTTGCGTTTCGATCTGTTTGTGAGATGCATGACAATTGTGATGACTTAAACAGGAACGAGTGCAAAGGCGGGTCATGTAATCAGACTACCGAGACGGCACGTTGACATGTACTAGTTACGATGTACAAAGGAGGAGAACCTGTGTATCGCATCATCAAGACCATTGGTAGGGTTCAACAAGTTTGATGCCCGCCGTTTGCAGACTTTCCCGGAGACATCACAGCCGACCTTCCTGGAGCAGCGATGGCCGAGAAGAGCAGACAAAACCAGAGAATGTATGTATCTACTTTCTAGGCCCTCTAGGCCCTGCGCTCTCTCTCATCTCTTGAGCTTCAAAGCCAAAGGTGCCAAGGAGTCTGCAGTCCTTCGGTGCTCCCCGAGCTGGCCCACTCAGGCTTGATGACTCCGGCGTCATCTGCTGTGCCGTGGCCGACTCAGACCATGAATGACGGGCCGGAAACCTCTGGGTGCCGATTCGCGTTAGACTGGTGTAAGCTCGCTTCTTGAGCCAGTCAAGGACGCATCTTTCAGAAATCGAGCGCGAACACGCTTAATGTCATAAGACAAAGCCAATCAGTAAGGTCGAGCCCACACCTGGTGGTGAGTTCGGAACTTAAACATGTGCTCGCAGCTTTTAGATTCTCGTTGCAGATGTATGGCGGAAGATTGAAAAGTCTGCTGTGACACACAAAGCCTCCAGGGGCCCGAAAGTGGACAAGCTGATGTGCCGGATCTGCTTGCTGGAGGGGCCCGGAGAGGAGCAATTCATGCGCTTAGGGAATGGAAGGGCGTTATCTTTGGAGAGCTCTGAACTGTCTTTCATGCAAGGACGATCCTCTCATTGCGCCGTGTCAGTGCAAGGGCTCTATCGAGCAGCTCGGTCTTTAGGGTGAGTGTTCCACCTATTGACTCGTTTTCGTCGGCATCACATCTGAGTCAACCTTTCTTCTTCTACTTCGTCTTCTTCTTCTTCTTCTTCTCTCCCTCTCTCGCCCTCCATCTCTCTTCCTGCCGTTTCGAATTCGTTCTCTTGGTCCTCAGTGTGTGCCACATCCGTTTCCCCCATAGGTGTCGCTGCAACATGTCTCGGATACCGCCGAAGGTATGTCCACCTGGGATGCCTCCGGCACTGGATTCGGGGGCGTCTGAATCTCTCAGACCGACCGTTGGGCTCGTATTTCTACAGGCCCCGTATATGCAGTGCTGCACTCCAAGACTAGCGGCCCACATCTGTGAAGCCTCCGTGGCCAGGCCCTTGACTTGTGAGCTTTGCAAGTCAGTATATCCAACATACATCCACACCAGCAGCGCTGGACTCTCAGATCGGCCTGGTCGTGTCCGCCGGGTGAATCCACCAAGTCATGGAGCATTCCTTTCAGAAACCCCAACGAAGAGCACTAAGGGCCAAGAGAGATCGCCGTTGGTTGAAGTGCCATTTACGCAGCCGCCTTTCATAGTTCTGGAGAACATGGTGGGCCGACAAGATTTGCGGAGCAGAGTGCAGCACGAGCCGAAGTCGAAACCGAAACCCGCCAGGTGCGGGATTCCCAGCAGCATACATCCAGAGGTCTGCACGTGATATCACTTGCGGAGAAGGCCGGTCCACATTGCCGAAGTTGTCCAAGTTGTTCCGAATTGTGCATTCTCCAACACCCTCCGCGGTCTCCTTGCAGCTCGAAGGAGCTTAAGCTTGGCCGCGGGCACGAGAGCGATGTGCGCATTGCGGATGCCTGGATCTCAAAGGTTTAACTTACGTGGGCCACGTCTGCAGCTTGCACCAGACCCAGAGACGATGCGTGGCGCATGAGGTCTCGATCTCTCGCACTCATGCAACAATTCGATTCAGCCATCACCTCAGCTCTTTTGCGGAAGCTTGGGGCTTGAGTCATCCGTCTTTGATCGCGATTTCAGTGTCACATCTGCGCCGAAGCCTGCTTGCGGTCGCTGAGGCAAGGGCCACTTCCTCTTGCAAGACAGCTCGTCGAAGTTCGGCACACTGGTCGCCATGAAAAAGCCCCGGGTGCTGGAGCCAGGCTCCGTGGAATCGGGGGCCTCAGCCTATGGTCTTAGTAAAACCGAATTTCGCATTGAGCGCGTCGCTGAGCCAGATGCTCCCAAGTCCGAGTTGGCCCAACGGACCCCCCCCCCCCCACAGACCAAATCTTCGAAGATCGGTTCTCCCAAGTAGAGTGGCTTTCGGGAGAGCACTGGAGCGCATCTGACTGCACTCGACTGCCCCAGGCGTTAACATTTCCATTCAGATGGGCCGGACGGTTCTGACACTGTGTGCGCAGCACGATCCGAACCAGTCAAACTCGGTGATGCCGACTTTAGTTGGAAAGCTTGCCGCCATCGGATCAAGAAGTGTGATTTCATTGGTCCTTGCAGCTGCGCCTGTCCGTTGCCCTTGTTTTTCAGCTGAGCCGAGTTTCCATGCCAGGCATCTTCTTTGAACCAGCTGCCCGTCGGGGGCAGTGCTCAGGCTGGGCCCTTTTTCCCTGCTTATCGCCAGAATCAAAGCGACCCATGGGCCATGGCGGCCATGGCCCCTGTCAGGACGAGCGAGCCCTGCGGCTGTCCCTGCTGACCCGCGGACAGAGTGAGGGTGGTCAGTCCGGAGGCACAAAGGGGGCCTGGGGACCATTCCATGGGGCCGCACTCGGGTCGGGTGTGGGCGCGTGGCCAGGACAGACGGCTCAGAGTGAGGAGCTTCCCGAAGAGTGAGGCCTGAAAGCGCAGGCTCCTGCCTGCCAATGATTATGTTTGCCGCCACCTCAGAGGCCGTAGCCACGGATTTTGCAGCAGCTACACTCCGAGATATCCTCCTAGAGTCCTAGAGTCTCTGAGAGATGAAGAGCAGGGACGGGACCCCATGTGGCCGAGCACATCGGTGTACCTTCTCGTGACAAGCATGGACGCAGTCCGCAGCTTCAAGCGGCACTCAAAAGGGTTTCTGTGACGCTCGAAAGAACATGTAATACGTCACATTTTTTTGCTTGATTGGAACTCGTGTCCTGGCTTGAGATTGCGTGCCATGCTTAGATTTCTATGTCTGTCAGAGTCCCCTTCCCTTCCGACAACATGCATGTGTTTGATTGTGTTTGGGGGAGCTTGGGGGTTTTCATCACCTGCCCGCGCTCAGCCGGGAGCTGGGATCAGCGAGGAAGGCTTCTTTCAAAAGACAGATCCTGATGAGTTGAGCTCCGCTGATCCCTGCTTTGCGGGGCATGCTTAGAAAAGCTGCCAGGAAGCCTTGTGGACCTCATCAATTAAGTGAGATTCATGTGCATAACACGGCGAATTGCCTCTGAACAACATACGTCGATGGCTTCAGGCACAGTCGGTTTTTCTTGAGAGTTGTCCTAATCTGGCCCACGTCACATGCGAGCCCTTCTGCCCCAAAAGGCAGGGTTTTTAAGCTCAACGTGCCGTTTCGGGAGGAGATGGGGGTCTCATCAAGGTCAATGTTCTGAAGTTACGCTGTTAGGTCAGTACAAACGTGGAAGGGCTCGCCAAGAACAGTCGCCTAGGTCCTGGGAACAAGGATTCGCAGGAAACTAGCGGACTATGAACTGAAGGTGGCACCTGCCAGAAGGTTTCTCTTGAACCCCAAACGCAAGAACGACAAGATGCACGCACGCACACACGCACACACACGCACGCACACACACACACACACACACACACACACACACACACACACACACACACACACACACACACACACACACACACACACACACACACACACACCACACACACACACACACACACACACACACACACACACACACACACACACACACACACACACACACACACACACACACACACACACACACACACACACACACACACACACACACACACACACACACACACACACACACACACACACACACACACACACACACACACACACACACACACACACACACACACACACACACACACACACACACACACACACACACACACACACACACACACACACACACACACACACACACACACACACACACACACACACACACACACACACACACACACACACACACACACACACACACACACACACACACACACACGCGGAGTTTGGGAGTAGAACCAATCACTTCCAGTTTTGCCATAATATGTTGCTAAAGTCGACGAACATCTGAGGCCTAAGTCACACCTGAATGATCAGATTGCAGCAACCATGCACGAACTCAACTGTGGCAAACATGAAGCTGTCACTCTAGTGTTGGTTACTCCAGTGCCTCAGGGGGCCCACTGGCTAATCCGAAAGCAGGTACACAGTGGTGATCAGCCACTGCATCCACTCCAGTGATTTGGCTTCGTTGGGCAAGGCTGATCACTGGAGCCCTTGCCCCCCTGCTGACAAAAGAACGATGCAGTACTGGACAACATTTGTATCGCATGCACCAAGAACCTCTAGCTTAGAATCGAGGCTTACACACACACACACCCCTCAGTGAGGGGAAAGTCCTGAGTCCTGTGTCCGATTGCCCTGCTGACGAGACAAACAATGCAGTACTGGAGAACGTTGGCAACGAAAGCATCCGAACCTCCAGTCTACAAGTACATACACACACTGACACGTGTACCTCAAAAGGGGGCAAATCTGGGTCCTGTGTCGAATCGCATCAAGCACTGGTTCTTTTGCAAAAACTCGCGACATCAAGTCACAAATGTCGGTAACCGTCTTCATCATGCAGGAAACAGTAGTGCGGCCCATACCAATCGTGTTGTTGCTCCTGAGCACGATGGTGACTGTGATAGCAGCAACGATTCTCGCAATGTTGACACCGGTGTTGACAACGAATGGGTCCATCCTGAAACCGGAATCTGCGATTGAGTCTGTCCCAAATCTGCCAGAGCAACTCCAGCAACTGAGCGGTGGATGCTTGACTGACACGCCACTGAGTGTCTCTCATCATTTGATTGTCCATGGCTGCTGATTACCTGCAAAATATGAAAACTCGAACTTGAAAGGTAGAACCGCGCGATACCTGCTGTGCACATGCTGCATGACGGAAAGAGACAAAGAGAGAGAGAAGGAGAAAGAGAAAGAGAAAGAGAGAGAGAGAGAGCGCAACAGCAGTGGTCTTGCTTCCGGGACCTGGGCAGTTTGCAATGGCTAGTCCGTCGACGATTTCTTCGCTGTCTTCAAGACATAGCGAACCAAATCCAATGTGCTGCGGAACCTCTTCTTAGGTCCTGGCTTTTCCTTAACGATGCGATTTCCATGTTTTTGAAGGAAGCCGAGGATCAGCGAAGCACGATTTGGAATGTAAAAATCGTCGCCTAAAATGCGGGTGTTCTCCATATGGCGTCGAAACATCTTACGTGGGCTAGGAAGAATCTTGATCCTAACGCCCTCAGAGTCCTCATCCATCATGCGCAAGCGTCGTCGAGCTTTGTTAGAATGTGGCTCTGGTTCCGGAACAGGAACCGTTTCAGAAACAACTGCACTGTCCTCCACTGATTCTTCGTCTGCGGTACCTCCAATATGTGCAGAGTCTACATCCGATGAATCCTCCGGGGTGATGCATTGAGGTATGCATGTTGAAGAAATGTCGCCACTATCAGCTTCACTCAGATTGTCGACGTATGATCCTGAAGACATGTACTCGTCAGAGATGGAAAAAGAATCACAGCCATCTGACATAACCTCCGGGACGAAGCGAGCCATGATGCAATTCCTTGCTCCTACCGAGGGTCCTGAACCTATGTACCGACAGAAATGCACAAGGAACATTCAAGAAGCAAACGTGCAACAGCAACTGTCCGGAAGCGTACCTTTTATGCAGAGTGAATCATGTCACCATACCTGTGGATTCCACCGAGTCGGGTGGTTCTGTACATCATCGGAATCCCTGAAATCTGGAGCGGTCCTCACGAAATGAACCACATCCAATGTAGCCAGTGCAGTGATAGGTTCCAGGAATGAGAAATGCCTCCCGTTTTGATGTAATTGGAAGCACTGCAACTGAGGACGACGTCCTGTCAACTCTTTGATCCTATATGTGAGAATTTTCTTGACTGCATCGATATTGTCCACACTGCATCACACCAGATGAACGGTCATCGCCTGATTCCTGGTGCATCGATCAGCTGGCATCTGAACTGTAACTCTGACAGCCTGCGGTTCACGCGGAAACCCCGCATCGGCAGCTGTCCGTTTCATGGCTTTGATGCAAGAATGCTCTAATCCTGCAGCCGGGAACTCCGAAACCAGGTATATGTGTTCACTTGAAAACCTTGCGAGAGAAAAAGAGAGGAGAAGGGGAGAGAGAAAGAGAGAGAGAGAGAGAGAGAGAGAGAAAGGAAGAGACAGAAAAGTGAGAGAAAAGCGCGCAATTCAACCTAATGCAGCAAATCTACTGCAACTGACAAGGGTCCTGTCCTTTTCACGTGAATCGGATGCCGACAGAGTTTAAAAGCTGGTGTGCACTGGGCTGTAGAACGCTTCTCGAAAAGCCCTGGGCCCGGTAGATTTCAATTAAGTCCTCCACCTGAGGCCGAATCAATCGCATTGGTCGTGAAAGTCTGATAATAGTTCGAACCCTGGCCGAGAAACCAGAAAGAACGTGTTCCCTCCTGCCGACTGACTGCAGTGTACGGATGGTTGAAGCATCAGTCGGTTGTACCACCGTGATGGTACCCTGTGTAACAGAACATGTAGTGCCTAGAAACATCTTAGTCGACACGTCCTCCAGGATGATGGGTGCACCATAGAATTCCAGATGAAAGAGCAACTGAAGCCACGGATTCCTGTGAATGCCTGTTTGAACATGAAAAACTCGGTTGTCCGCATATCGAGCAGCTGTCTGAAAACCAATGTTGTTCAGAATGGTGCGAAAATTCCGAAGCCACAGAAATTCAATGGTCGAGGCAACCAATGTGCATAGTACCGGTGCGAGTGCCGATCCCATGCTGGCTCCTTGAATCTGCCTGAAAGTGTGGAAGCCACATCGAAAGAAACTGGATCGTAACAGAAACACAACCAACTCGGGCAGGTCCTCCAGATGAAGTGTCTTAGTGTTCCTCGCAGCAAACCTACGGCGTCCACGAAAGACGCGAAAGGTGAGATCCTTGCTGCGACCAGAAACCTGAAGTGATTGCGACTGCCATGGTTTTTGCCAACGACCTTCAAGGAGCTGCAAAACAAAGAGCAAAGATTGCGAGATGCGATCATGTGGTACAGAGTTAAAGAAGCCGATGAGGTCCTGCTGTTTCATGACGGTGGGTTCATCTGCAGAAAAGCCCATCATAGAATGCCACATCATACGAACTGCTTCTTGCACCGACAGCGCATTAAAAGTGGAACCTGTCGGGAAAACTACCAACATGATCTGGAAGATCGCCTTGGCCAGGAAGGTCGTCAAACGAGAATGCCAACAATGATCACACGCAATGATCGGTCGTGCTTTGCGAAAGTCCTTGTTGGGTTTGGGCAGAATTCTCGCTACAGGTAACGATTCAGTCCATTGACATCCCCATCCATATCTTTGAGACCACCGGGGGGTAGACTGAAAGCGCGTCTTCAGGTTCGACAGAATTGAGGAGCAACCCACACTGCATTTCTGAAAGACCGTCTCATCCAAGAATGTGGTGTCCAGTAGCGAGTGAAAAGCAAAAGGACAGGCAACATGTAGAGAGAAAGGAAAGTGATCGGCCGGAGTGAAAACAAGTCCTCGCATTTGTCGAAGGTCTCGATGAACTGCTGTATGAACTGAGGACTTATCATGACAAACAGTCTGTTCATGTAGATGACATTGACATTCAACCCATTGCCGCAGTCCTGAATGAACTCGAGGAGGTAGTCTCCACCTTTTGCACCATCGATGCACCTCCCTGTTCGCAATACGCTTCCATTGTGCTGTAGGCAAAAAACATGTGTCATTAAGATTCAAAAAGGTCAAAGGAGAACCCGGAAGAATCTGACGTACATGAGCAAACAGGTGTCCTGTCGCCGATGTGGTCGAGTATGATGTCGTGCATTTGCAAGTCGCTGGCTTGCCTGGTTGCCATGATCGAAGGAAGGACCTGAAATTGAACACGGTCCTGGGCCACGGACGAGATTTGATCTCAATCATCTTGCAGGATGGCAAATGCAAAGGTGGAAAATTTATTCTCTCGTGCCGTACGATTTCACGAAGAACCTTGCATACTTCCTGAGCGAGATCATGTGCAAGGGGTGGAAGGCGAAGGGGTACATTGGTGGGTGGCATGTGTCCTTGCCTGAAATCCAGAATCAACCGCAACTGCTGCACAGCTCGAGTTCTGAACGGCTCGTCAATCGTGTGGACCAACCTGCACCGAAGATACAGTTCCTGCAGAGGTGTGCGATGAGAACGAAGTCGCCAGGATTCCAAGAATTTCTCCAAGCTGTCACTTCCCAGGCGATAGAGAGAGAGAAACACTTGTTTGTTGTTCAACAGATGCTGATGATAAATTCCATGCCGACGGCGAATCAAAGACTGACATCTCCTTGTGAACCGATATCCTGTTCTGGCCTGAGGTAGACGAAATCTGTTCTGCTTGATTCGTAGTGACTTCAAAAGGTCCTGAACCCATGGATAATTCAAAGCCGGTCTAATGGTCCGAATCAAGGCAGCTTCCGTCGCAAGCAATGACAAATGGTCAGAGTCCTGATGCAGGGCCAAAACGATACCTTGATAGAAGTCGTGTTTGCGATGAAACACTTTGAGTGCAGGTTCGAAATGAGATAATCTTTTCCTGACCACTTGAATGAACTTGCGCCGTCTCGAGGCTTCACGTCCTGGAACTGTTGACCTGGTAGCTCCGACATACAGTAAAGCTGTGGTCGCTGAACGATTCAGTGACACACGAAGATAAACCATACATGGAGTTTGATGCCAGGTCCATGGATAATGTTGGGGTACACGAAACTGTACCAGAAGATCACGAATGCGGACGAAAATGTCTGTGGAAAACCTGGGTAAAGCGTTCGAAAATAAAGCACACGAGAAAATGTGGGAGCGAACCCACATGAATCTGTCGACCACCTTGTGGGGCATGAGAATGTAAAGAATGGGGAGAATCAATGAAAACCATCGGAGAAAAGTGACAACAAACCGCTGTCGCTTGGTCCTTGTCGCGCTCGTAGCCGCACATAGTCACTGGTTGGCCAGCAGGTGAGCTCCCGCGATCAAGCGAGTGAGGCACTTCTCATTCAACTTAGAAGCTAAAGAAACTGAGAGACCCCATTCCACTGCGATTTTATCAACTGGCTTCCTGCTACCATCATCAAGTTTTGCACATGCAGCAACGAACTCGGAAACTGCGGTGTCAATCACTTTGTTCTTGCCTTTCCCGATAGCAGTAGATGCTAGCCAGTTGTTGACACTCTTGATGTTGTGACCCTCCAAGCTGCAGTTCTCAAGGTAAAGTGTGCTGTCACGACTCGGAAGATACTGCGAGAGGGTGTCCTGAGCATCTATCGGACCCGGGTCCTTGTTCTCTTCTTCCTCTTCTTCGAAGAGGTCATGGGCCGGCGATCTGAAGTCGGCGGTTGCTTCACCATCACCAACGGCTTCAAGGTCCTCGTCCTCGAAGTCGGGGTTGGGGCTCCTTGGTGCCTGTCTGGATTTAGAAGCTGGTGTCCCTCGGCGACGAGGGAGAACGGGTTGAGAAGCGAGGCTGCTTACCCTTCAAACGAGCATTCTCGGTCTCAAGAGCATGAAGTCGCTGCAGCAAAGTCTGATTTGTCTGGACTGGTGCATGCTTACGAAAGTCCTTCACCAAGTCCTCGGCTAGCTTCTGGATGGTCTTGTAGCGAGCTGACCAATCGTGAAGCTCCGAATCTGGATGCAACTTTTTCTGAGTAGCATTCAGAATGGTAACAAAATCAGTGCCTTCCTGCTCTGCTTGGTCGGATCGAAGTGCCCTCATTAGCACCCCCGCAAACACCCCCTCCTGCTTCGATCGAAAATTCTCCCAATGTACACCACGACCATGAGCAATCTGTCGCAAAGCCCAATGGGAGGTACCACCCGAAACCACTCGATGCAAAGGCACCTCAAAATCTACATACCTGCAATACCTTGTTCCCGAGTAAGTCTATTGAGGCCACACGTCTTGGCAACGACAAACCATACACCTTATTCGAGTCCCACTCCTGCGAGGTTGACCTCCACGATCCCGGAAGATTCGAACTGCGTCGTTCGACTCTGGGAGAGCGAGTGCGAGATCTATGCCGGGTAGTTCGACCCGAAGAAGAGAATTCAGGACGTCTGCGATGCGAGCGAGGTGGGCTTCGAGATCGCGAGTCACGACGGCGATTCGACATGGCTCAAGTGCAGCAGGTAGTGACAAGGAGAGAGAACCTTCGAGGCCAAAGCTAGCAAAACACAAGTAAACATGGCAAGATGCAAGCAGTCCTGCACCATGGACAATGTATGTGACGTTCCTGCAAGTCCTGGTTGTTTTCTCTGTCCTCTGCGAGACGATGTCAGTTGCCTGCACCACGCTGGATCTGCTGAGCATGTGTCAGAGGAACCTGAAAAAGCGGGCGACCGAAAGCATCCCTCAAAGGAGTGAACTGTTTGGCAACTGCCACTGTGAAACCTGCCACTGTGCTCCTTCCGCTGTGGATCACATACTTATGGTCCTGCTTGAAGTGAACGACCCCATGTATGAGGCACTGTTGCTGGGCGTCTTCTCCACCGCCCGACTTCAGAACGAAATGCTGACCAGGAACACTGGCAAACCCATGCGTGATAATGGGACAAGCCCATTCGGCAGAGTTCGTAACCCTATCAAGAATCTGCACAAAAGACATGTCATCACTCCACGGAGTTGCTTGCGAATAGTGGCCTACAGCCTCCGGGCCGTCCGCCAATGTGGCTGGTGCCAAAACCCAGATTGCATTATGCCCTGCACACCTGCCATATCCGAGCCATGAGCAAAATAATATAAATTTCGCAGTTCGGCAGATAAATCATCATGTGGTACAAAGCGATCAGTCAGATCAAAGCTCCAGTAAACATGTGCCTTGGACTCATGGCATTTCACTCGACAGAACATGCGAGATGTAGCATTAGTGTTGCAAAGCACCGAAGCTCGAAAAGAGGCGGGAGCTGAATGCCCGACTCATTGCAAAGGTCTGTTACAATCTTGATGTTGCTTTGAATCTGGTCCTCAGGAGCTGCCTGCATGATAAGACGACCTTGCCAGCTCTTGAGCTTGACACTGACTGCTCCACCCACTGTCCTCGACAGAACCAACTCAGAGTGCACGTCCTGCCCACTAGTCGTGAGTAGTGGATCACCTGCATACTGCGGAGGCTGCATTGGTGTGCACTCGATTCCTGCAGAAGGTACTGGCGGAGGAGGTGGTGGAGGAGGGGTAGGTGCTGCTGCCGATGTTGTTGAGGCTGGCGGCACATGCTTAATCGCTCCTAGTGCCAAAGGACTGCGAGAGGTCGCCATCTGAACAGCACGATCCGCCAGGTCCTGTTGAACCTGTATCTCCCTGTCAGACGCAGAAGACTCGGCAGCCGACACACTGTTGTCCTCTGGAGGCTTACAGACTTCGATTGCTCCCAACATCTGTTCCCTCCTCTGCTGCAAAACCTGTCCCACGGATCCCTTGGGAACCTTAGCAGCATTCTTCGCGCGAGCAAATCCTCGTGAGGTGATCTGTGGTGTCTCCACTGGGGGAGCAATCGATTGATCACTGTCTGATTTGACTTCCGAAGTGTCCTCCCTAGACTCAGAGGAAGAAGAATTTACCATCGGAATGTCCTGTCCTGTAGAAAGTCGATCAGGTAGAACATTGTCAATCTCGATTCCCTGGAACCCAAAATTGGGTATCGGAATCTCCGATGGTGAGGGTCCTTCGCCCTCCGAGATATCAATCCCGGTAACATCTGCATCTGGCAACGATTCGAAGCTCATGTTCGCAAAGCAAAACACTACGAATAAAAAAGGAGTCAAGCCGAGATGCTGCCGCAACGATGAATCATCTTCGGTATCTCTGCGTCTTTCGTTACTCAAGACTGCTAGAGTCACTTTAGGGCCGACTGGCCACGTGAGCCCATCACCTGACCAATCGGGGCACTTTCGTTCCGGTTTGCTCACTAGGAGCACTTAGACCCATCACCTGACGAGACAAGGGCCACTCTTTATAATGCCTTTGCACCATTGACCTGTCCCGAAGGAGTACGGCCTGTTATGTTACCATCTTGGGCCGCAAAAAACGTACCCTGGCAGTCCGCAGGAGCGGTTATTGCCGTTGGCGACAAGGCCACACACGGAGTTTGGGAGTCCATCAGGACAGAACCAATCACTTCCAGTTTTGCCATGATATGTTGCTAAAGTCGACGAACACCTGAGGCCTAAGTCACACCTGAATGATCAGATTGCAGCAACCATGCACGAACTCAACTGTGGCAAACATGAAGCTGTCACTCTAGTGTTGGTTACTCCAGTGCCTCAGGGGGCCCACTGGCTGATCCGAAAGCAGGTACACAGTGGTGATCAGCCACTGCACCCACTCCAGTGATTTGGCTTCGTTAGGCAAGGCTGATCACTCGAGCCCTTGCCCCCCTGCTGACAAAAGAACGATGCAGTACTGGACAACATTTGTATCGCATGCACCAAGAACCTCTAGCTTAGAATCGAGGCTTACACACACACACACACACACACACACACACACACACACACACACACACACACACACACACACACACACACACACACACACACACACACACACACACACACACACACACACACACACACACACACACACACACACACACACACACACACACACACACACACACACACACACACACACACACACACACACACACACACACACACACACACACACACACACACACACACACACACACACACACACACACACACACACACACACACACACACACACACACACACACACACACACACACACACACACACACACACACCACACACACACACACACACACACACACACACACACACACACACACACACACACACACACACACACACACACACACACACACACACACACACACACACACACACACACACACACACACACACACACACACACACACACACACACACACTGATGGATTCGGCCAAGAGTACGAGTGCAAGAGGAAAAAGAGAGGCATGTTGTTCATGTTGCAAAAGCTTGTCAGATTGTGGCAACCGTACAACTTGTTTGTTGTCGAATCAACCGCCAAAAGTGGCAACTGAAAACTCTCTAATCTTGGCACAGGGGCCTTCTAATCGGGCTGGCACAGGGGCCCCAGCTCAATTTTTGTGCAGGTACACAGGACTGATCAGGTCCCGCTTCCCACTTGCATCCACAGCTTCGTTGAGTGTGGTAGGACGCAAGTGCCACACTCCCCTGCAACAGTTGATTTGGTAAATGTCCAATGTCTGATTAAGTTGAAAAGCAAAATTGCAAACAGTGTAGGAGTGACCCTCTGCTCCCATGTGCTAGGGAGGTTCACACACACACAGCCCCAATGGGGCGTACATGCTTCAAGTAGAGTGAAATGTCTGATGCGTGGCAAAAGAAGTGAATGGCGCACTTTTCTCGCTGTCACTAGCGATCGGGTGATTGTCGTATTTCCTGATCCGAACAGGTTCTAACAAAAAGCACCGGCTTCAACGTGGCTAATGTGGTGACTGAATCCCAATCATGTAGTCGTCGACGGTTTTGTTCGAAGAAGAAAGCTGGGATTTTAGGAGTTCTGCCGGTGATCTCCTTGATGCGGTAGGAGAAGATCTTGCGAGCTTGTAGAACGTTGTCACCCAGACAAAGTACCACGTGTAAGAACATGTGCTTGTCTCTGGTGATGCGGTCGGGTGGAATTTCAACAGTCATCCGAAAACATTGTCCTGCCATGGAGTACCATGGAAGGCCGGCCTCGGCAGCCTTTCGCTTTGTCATATTTTGCTGCTACCAACCGACAAACGCTTGAACAAGGAATGCAAATCAACATGGACATGCTGTGTGCTCAGGCGAAACAACAAAGTGGTGTCGTGCTGACACTCGCATGCGCAGGCTTTTTGTCACGCTTAGCGGATCTTGCAGCCCTAATCCGTCCTGAGTATTAGGATCCAACAGCGAGTTTGTTGGGACAGTCACTCATGATCTTGAAATGGCATCTACACCTAAAACCTGCACGTACCAGCATTTTTGCACAAGCGGTTTTGGACCGCTTGTGCTGAATAGTAGGATGCACAATATCGTAAGGTGCAATCGAGTCAGAAGACCAAGGATCTCGCGATGGAGATCGGTGTGCGTCCTCAGCCATGTGTGACGTTGCCGTAGGTGACGCTGATGATGTTGAATGCGAAGAGCGTGTCCTCTTTCGTCTTGTAGTATGTGGATGTTGGCGTCGTTGCTGTGTTGTGGATTGGGATGCTGGTGAGATGTTGCGTGTTTGCTTTGTTTTCATGACTGTTTTGTCCTTTTTGTCTTTGTTGTCTTTCTTCTTTTTTGTCTTCGTTGTGTGCTTTGTTTTTTGCTTGTGTGTGTGACTGACTGCATGGGAGGATGTGGTGGTGTCATCCTTCCTCAGGAAGGCATCAATCTCTTCGGATCCCCATAGGCTGCTGTCGTCGTCCTCGTCCATCTGTGTGCGATCCTAAATATGTTTCAACAACTGTAGTTCGGAGAAATGGCTGCGGAGTCACAACTGCATTGAGGCATGTGCATACGCTGATCTTCAGAAGAGAGAGAGAGATGTACACAGAGACATCAATTGAGCAACCTCGCCGACCGGCATGACCTTTCAACATGATGCTCTTAATGTTGAACCTCATCAGGGATGATGGAGTTCGCAGCACAGCTTTGCTGTGTGGTTGTTGGCTGCCAGGGGCAGCAAATGTGCATCTAATTGTCAACACAGCAAT